TTTTAAGTAAACAAAAGGCCACATTCAAGCAGCAGAAGGACAATGTGTATCCTTTGCTCTCGCTTCGCAGACCTTCATTTTTAAGGTGGCCTGAACAGAGTGTTTTAGGGCAGCAAACCCTGGTCTCAGGCCACCTTGACTTTAGCTCGAAGAACTGTCTGTTTTAGCAAAAGCCTTGTCACAGAGACACCTCAGGACCCTTGCTTCGCATATCTTCATGTTTGAGGTGGCCTGAACATATAGTTTCGGGCAGCGAGCCTCTGATCCCAGGCCACCTCGAATTTTGCTCTAAAAACTTTCTACTTGAACGAATGCACTCCCAATCATATGACAACCAATCGTATGTTCAACCAGGTGCAAGGTCAATGTAGGTCAATGTGCATTTTTGGGCTTTTGCTTCATCTGAATGTGGATGGGAATTATCTATGTGTGAACAGAATTTTTTTTTCAAACGAAATTCAAGGTGGCCTGGGGCCAGGCGTTTGCTGCCCTAAAACCATTGTTCAGGCCACCTCAAAAATGAAGAGCAGATTCAAACAAGGATACCTGGATAAGGCCGCTCCTAAAAAGACCTGCTACAACAAGGTCGATCGGGGGGGGTGTGCGCGAACGTTTATCGAGCTAAATGCAAGTCGTTGTTGGGTCCGCGCGCGTGAATCTTTATGAAGCTAAATGCAAGGTGGCCTGGGACCTGGGGTTTGCCGCCCTCAAACACTATGTTCAGGCCACCTCAAAGCTGAGCTGTGCTTGGCGAACGACATTAGTAGGTCGGGGGGTCGGGGGGGGGTGGCCCGAGAAAGGTATACGTAAACTTTTGGAGGTGATGTTTTAGTGATTTTGGAGCGGGTGGTGATGCAAGAGTGCATTTTTTTTGGAAGCGCTGGCTTTCGTTTTGCAGCTTCTCAGGTAGGTGCCGTTTTTTTGAGTTTTACACCATTACGGTAGAGAAACCATTTGCCATGTGTCCATCTGCATTCATTTGTGCGCGATCTGCGTCGCTCGAGTGGGTTGACAGCAGCATCGCCATGTTTTGCCATATGGCGAGGTTCTTCGGGTGATGACTCATGGGAGTTGCTCAAAGAGGATGATGTGGAGCTACTGCCAATGAGGTGAAGAATACCGTTGTATGATTGATACACATCTTATCATCAACGCGCAGCCACGCAGCTTTCACGAGTTATATTAATCATTAATCCAAGCATGCCCAGGACCGATATTGCCAACAGCTGACAAGCCCAGCTGGCCAAGTAGGATGTCTGACGAATCCATGAGCTGTAGTCTGAAAGAACTACGCTGGGAAAGATCAGAGGGCACTGCTTTGTCCTTGCGTGTTTTGTGAAAACATCTCAGAAGTAGCCCAGCTTGGAGATGATCGATTTCTTTTACTGACGTATTATTTCCAAACCCTGTCCCGGCACCCGAAGCCAGCTAAAACCCAGGATCAAACAGACTCCAGCAAAGCCACAGCATCTTCCATTGTTTTTTTCCCCCACTCGTACCTCAGAGTGCCATCATATAAACCCTGCTGGTTTGTGGGTGCTGAGTTGCAAAAGAACCATCATCCCCTGCTGGCAGCAGTCCGAAGTACCCTATCCGCGACACGTCTTTCACACCGCCAATCTGGCGCCGATCAGCCATGGGTGACGTCCTTCGAGCAGCACCAACAGAGGAGATTGGCAATTGACGGGTTTTGCTTAGGATGATTTACCATGTTCATGGATGTTTCCATGAGTTTCCCGACCTTGTTGAATCCCCTGAAACTGCAGGATATAGAATTTGTTTTTTTTTTCCCGGCTTCCGAAAGCAGCAAAACCAAGATTGACTGGAGTGAGTGGAGTGGTTTGAGCTGTGGAGTGGTCACATCATTCACATCTACCCTGGTCGCGCTTGGTAGGATGAATTCTTTATGGGTGTGTCCCAGTAAACCAATAAGAGTCGGCAAAAGATGAGTGATCACTTTTTTTTTGATGTCAGCCTGCAACCTACAACCATCATCATCTATACTGGGCTCTGGAAATAGGATAAGTTAGATTCATAGAGTAGATTATTGTAGAATATAGATTGATCACCCGGACATGTATTGCAATACCCAATCTTTATGTCTAAAAGACCCCATGTCTTATCACACCTTCGCACTTGTCGTCATGTCCTCATCCTTATAAGTGAGGGTTGGTGAGGGTGGGCGAGCAGCTGGGGTCTGGTCCAGGAATGGCTTCCAAAGGGATATCAAAAGGAAGCAAGACTTTGCAAGGTGATCAGCACTGTGATCTTAAATCTAATCAAGAACAAAGCAAAAGGACATATTGTGTTTCCATTTCCATTGCCTTAGAAAGTCTCTCTTCCGTGGCGTCATTGCACCAAATTACGAATTTCTTGCGTTCACTGTCTCTGGGTTGAAGTCAGGGCCCTGCTTAGTGTCATGATTGAAGTCAGCCATAAGGTTCTGCACACACGCAGAAAACTCCTCAGGGTGTGACTTCAACCCAGACGTAGGCAGCATAATATGTTTAAATACTGCCCCTAGAGCCGAACAAAGGCCCATCGAATAGGCCTTCAGCTTTCATGTTGCCCAACTCCCATCCTGTTCTTTGCCGATAGCCTGCGCTCTTGGCAGTTCCGAACACCTGTTCTCAAAGAGGATCTGTTCCACCTCTTTTGTCACATTGGTGAACATCAGCTTTGTTGGCTTGGGAGTATCCGCCATAATGGCCTTGGAGCACTCGGACAACAAGACAGTTCGCGAATCGCTGCAACCACCTCATAACGATCAGGCGCCAGATTGACGCGGCTAAAGGGTCATCTGGGTCATTTTCTGGATGTTCCAGGACTCCAATTGCCCCGCTCACAATGGCAGCGAACATTAGGCGGATGGCAACGCCCAGTAAATCGCTTCCCAACGAAACTTGCAAGGCTTCCTTCTTGGTCAAGTTGTCGAGACCGTGTGGTCTGGCCCCCGTACGCACGACACGTGGATGTCGTTTGCCTGGCACCAAAACTACTCTGGCTTTCGACCAAGTTTCGCAAGGAGGGCCACGTACAATTCCGCGTATCCAGCGATCTATATATGGCTTTCTGGAAGAAGGGAAACGTGTCGCCTCGTAGGAGGTTTCCACGTACTGGATCGAATATAAAAAGGACATAAGCCAAGATAAAACCAAAGGATCTAACATGAACAACAAGTAAAGGACTGCTGGGCCGGTGGACCAAGACGGAACATCTCCAAGTGATCGCGACTTTTGCCAGGTCTGGTGCTGAATACCAGGCTCTCCCAGGGTAGTTACCCCAAAAAACTTTGGTCTCAAAAAATTTTCCACGTAGGGTGTTTTGCTCAGAAAAGTAAGGAACCTGGACTCTAGACCTTCAAATTAAAGGCAACCTTGCAGGTGGAATTCATGAGTAGGCCTTCATCATGTCCTGTGCACAAGAAACTTGCCCTTCTTCTGCATGGCATTGGTCGCTACGGCGTTCGGCGGACCAAACACGTCTTCCAGCGCCCAACCCGATCATACCTTCTTGGGCTCCTCAGCACACCGAGCACACCGTGGTCTCTCTCAGGGTCCCATGGTTTGGACTTAGAGGGTCCCATGGTTTTGACCATGTGGCCAATCAAAAGACAATGGAATAACAATGGGTGTTTCCATTGTCTTTTGTTTTGTAGGATGTGGCAAACAAAAGACAATGGAATACATTTCAATCCATTGCGTGTGACGTTGTAGCAGTTGAAGATTTGAGCTTCTTGAATACTATTATTCTATTGCAATGTTGGGGTTGAGCTGGTTTCATAGTCAGGGTTTCTACGCGATAGATAAGGTTAGATAGATAAGGTTGGTTTGTGTTTGCGTCATTGTTCACCACATTAGATGTTTGGGACCCGTTGATCTGTGTAGCAAGTTGGGGACCTTGAATGGCCAGATCATGCCAGATACGAAGGTTTGCTCGGAATTCACTAATTGAATGTAGTTAGAGCAAACACCACGACATAATGGTGAATCTACAATTAGGTAACTGAGTTTGCTCATAACACCACTACTAATGTACCACGACCCATTGCCTCCACCATCTGTCTGTGTCCAGCCAGCCAGTCGCCAAGCCACCCAGCCCACCCGCTCAGCCACCCGCGCAGCCACCACTACTTCAGGGACCACAACCAAGAAGTGTCATAAAGCCATGCTGGTTTTGGAATGGAAGGTATAAAGGGTATATACATACGTCTACGTTCTTCACCCCTTCTTCACCCCTTTACGTTCTGCGCGCGACCCACAGGAACTGAACGGAGTTGGTGCCGGGATCTCTTTGTACGAGCTGCACGAGGCGGTGGAGAAGCATTTCGAGTTGCAAGGCGCGGCGACCGCGGCGAGGGTTTCGCACCGGGAACTGCGCGTCGAGGTGGTTTCGCTTTCGGAAGTCAGTGAGAACGAGTGACACACACACACATTATGTGTTTGTTGTTGTTCTTGAAGGTCACACTGGGTACAGATGTGACCACTGTTACCATGGGGTGTTTTCTATTGTTTGTTGTTTTCTATTGTTGTGTTCTATTGTTTTGTTTTTCAAGGTCACACTGTACCATGTGTTGTTTTGCTTTGTCTTCTTTGTTGGGCCAAACGTCTACATAAGTCTAGGTGCATATTTGCCAAGCAGCCTGACGCGCTAATGGAGATTGGTCGCACTACAAGATGCCTGCTCTCTAGCTTTGGCTGAGAGAAAAGCTTTCTGCAGCAGAGCAGGGCAGCTGCATTGTTCGACACATGTTGTTATTGAAACTAAATTTATTCACAGCCGTTGGAAGTGCACAGCAACCAGACCTTGTTATATAAGTATGTATATTTGCAGGTTTGAGTTGTCGCAGCTCATTCGTGAGCATTGCAAGAGTGGATCAAGTGGGAAGGTGTGTAACTCCTCATTGCCATTTGAGCCAGAGCCAACGTCGGATCTTGATACATCATTACACCGGTTTTTGACAGATGTTAGTTGTTTTGGTTGTTTTCTTTGTCTACATTACTGTATCTAGCAGAATGTTTAGAGGTTAGTATGCAAGCTGCAGGAGACATAGACATAAAGACGATTGAACTTATCACAAAGAGTCAACTGTTTCAGCTCTTTACTGCTCTTGTTGTTTGCTCAACCTCTCAAGTTTCTCGCGGTCAACATCCGGCACTTATAAGTCTGTTTGGTTTGTGGACTTCGTCGTGCTTCATGGTTGACTTGCCCACCAAAGGACTGCACATTATCCCAAAAAGATCCCAAAAGGAGTGAACGGCAGTGCACATGGCGATGACCGACGGGTCGCTTTGTTCACTGGACGGACGACGGATGGGACGGCTTTCCTGGCGATAGGTGAACAGCTGCAGCGAATCAGTCTTCAGCTGGAGGCGTTGGAAGCCGAGTCTGACAGAACGTCATCCTATATTTACCCATCCAAAGAGTCCATATACCTCCTTTTCGGATGGTCGAACGGAGGTGAGGGTTGTGCTTCCTGAGAATGGTCGTTGCCGCGATTCGGATGCCATCCGAGCAACGGATGGTGCTGGACCCTTGGGGCTAGGACAAGTGGAAGATTTGGCTTTCACCTTTTTGTGAGGATTGGGGACACCACACTGAAGACGAAGAGGCGTAAGAAGGTTCACCTTCACTTTCTTTTCCAGGGAAATGGTTCAGGACTGAGCCGTTGGAGAGGACATCATGGTCAAGAACAGATATCAAAAGATGACACCTTCAGCACCTTCTTAGCAACCTGTGTGGGATTGCTAAGTGACCTTTTCCAAACTGAAATGGCCCATGCATGCACTTTAGGAGGGTTGCCATTGTATGTTAACATCCCCCAATAGCCCTAAGCAATAGACCCTATGTGTTCCCTTCAAGCCTTCCAGGAAACAATGTTTCGTGTTGAGAAGAATGGCTTCCTGACCCTGGCAGGATTTTACAAAGTGCTCACCTGTTTTTGCTTTCACCTGCAGGAATTTTCGAAGCACAACTCTTGGACCGCTCTTTCTGTTTGTTTTGGGTCGGGAAGGGTGCTCACCTTGCAGATGTAGGGAGGCCACGCAGGCCACAAGTTTCGGCACGTCATGATTTCAGTGTCGCGCTTGGAGTCCGGGCGCGAGCTCGCTCCATTCTCTTGGCTCTATCTCCATTTCCCTTCTTTACTCCTGCTCCAAATATAGGTTATAATCCCAAGTGCTGGTGGTCTTGCTTGCGCCAGAATTGAGAGATGATCCAAGAGTTCTTTTCGCGTTGCCGGGCGAACTGAGCGGGTGCTTGGACGTTGGTCGCTCCTCTTCACAGGCCCTGGCAGCGTCGCCTTCTGCGCCGCAGAAGAACTCCGTTACACTGAAGGTGCGGGGAGTGCTGAGTACACCTGGCTGGGGACCCCAGAATCCTGGCTGAGAGCTGAATCCCCACGCGTCCGAAGAAATCCGAGCGGACGCTGAAAGGGTCGGTGGTTGTTGTTTTTTTCACCTGGAAAGTCATCCTGTTTTGGGCACTGTTTTTCAACACGTTTCTGCTCAGCTTGGATTTTTGCTGCCTCTTCAGCCTGGTGCACCAGTCTGGTCTTATACTAAGACTTGGTGCTTGTGTGATGCTTTTTTGCCTGTTTGCCTGCCTGGCTGCCTGCCTGCCTGCCTGGCTGGCTGTGCCTGTTTGTCTAATCTGTCTGTTTGTTTGTGACTTTGCTTATTCGTTCAAGTACCATGAGAGGGGAGGTCAATTCTCCATCCGAGCGAACTCGAGGGAGGGCGATCCGCCTCCAGTCGACGCTTCCGACCCTGGTGGACTTGAGGAACGCCTTGGGGGTCGTTCCGTGGGGCCCGTTCACGGGCCTTCCCTGCAGTCTGGAGTGTTTCCCAGACATGGAACTGCTATAATACAGTAGACCGAGAAAAAGGGCCAGGGGTGGTCGATTTCAGAAGTCACTTCGGGTGGCATTCGGCATATTCCAGTCTCATTGTAAGCATCTTAAAGGGACATCGACATGGATATGAAACGCACACACATCCGTTTTTTTTGCTATGTCTCTGTTTAAGTCTTCCGTGCCCTTCCCATCCAAAGTCTAGCTCACATCCTACTCCTCCGTCCGTTCTCGTCTCTACGTACCGGTGCCTCCGTGCCTCCGTGCCTCCGTGCCGGTCTTTACCGGGTTCGTCCCACCGAGGTGAATCTGAAGACCACTCGCTGGATGTACCCCAGCGGGACTCCCTCCAGGCGCCCCCCCCGGATCGCCTGGGATCGGAACCGACCGCGGCCCGACCTGCGCCACGCGCGCGAGGGTCAGGCGGAGCGTCAGTAGCGTCATCGTGTCGCTGTCGCGGAAGGCGTGACCTGCACAAGAGCCGCGTCGGACAAAAGTCGAGTTCCGCAACTGCACATCGTCGGATTCCGTATACTTTCTGCCGGGGAATTAGAAGGACATGAATTGTTTCATCAGCATTCTTTAATCAGATTCACCGCCAAGATTGTAAGGTCCAAATAATAAAATGCTGATGTAATCTCTGGCCTTTTATATTACAATGAAATTACTTTTGGAACATTATATGGCCATAATACATAATGCCTTTCATGGCAATTGACTGCCATCACCAAAATTAATACATATTAATTTTGGAGGGATATCTTCATTATTATTCATGATGAAATTCCTATATTCTAATTTTATTCATAGAATTTCATTAATAATCGGCCGTTGTCAATTGAATAGAACAATGAGGAGGAAGAAGCCAACGGCCTGACAATAAGACCCTGAGCACCATCACTGACTTGGGTGCCACAGGGAAGAGACAGATGGGCCCCTTCTTGGATTTGGGGCCCCCTGCTCTTGGCCTGGCGGTTGACCTCTCATAAGCCATTCATTTTGATGACACCTTCATGTCGCTTCATCCCTCTCTCGTTATCGTGTTACCAGAGGCACCGGCCACCAAGTGCCACTCAGTTCGTCCTTCCAGGGGGTTCCCCGTGGTTCCTTCCACCGCGCAGGCGCAGCGGAAGATCCTGCGCGGTCGCCAGGTGAGTCCCACTCCACCGGAACGCCCGGGCGCGCGCCTCAGCGCGAGAACGGACGAATACGTCCGGGGCGAGGCCGCCTCAGAGAGGAAGCGGGGCTGGAGCTCTAAAGCGAAGTTATTGTGTTTTGTTTGTGTCATGATGTGTGGCTTAATCACTAGGAGGGCCAGATGTTGTTTTCCTTTAGCTGGTTGAGACTAATTGGGAACTTCAAGGGTGTCAGCATTTGCTGTTATTTTTTTCATGGTGCATGTTCATTATCCGATCCGGCAAGTGTTGAAGGTTTGGAGAGTTTAATTCCAGTATGTTCTGGTCGAGAACTTGACTTCTGGATGATTTTTGCTTCAGGACGGAGCGGTCGTGTGCTCGGAAGATTCATACTGTCATCCACTCCCTGTATGGTATATATACCGTAATCTCCCAGACCAGCCTTCTATGGAATAGTTACATGTTTAACCGCAATAATAATAGTAGGTAACTGTTCTGTACATGGATGGGGTCTGGTGGTGGTTTCAGGGTCAATGGAGTCAATCCAGAGGCTTTCGGGATGTAACCTTGCGATATTGTTTGAACCTTTCAGCACAACGGTGATTTGGCCTCCAAACATTGAAGATTCTGCTAGTCAGAGTACAGTCTGCCCTCACACCTGCTAGGAAGGTCCTCTTTGAATTCGTTTTCTGTACAAAAAGCTTCAAATGCAAGTCGTTTGACAAAGGACCTGAAATGTCACGGTGCAGTCACAGTTCGGGTCCTGGTGGTTCTGAAGGGCTGCGGGTAAAAGAAGTCCTTTCACGCAGATTCACAAGGTGCACTAACAAACCCAGCAGGCCTGATATCAGTTGGATCGCACTTTGAAAATCATACTAATCAGACAGGACATTTGCTACACATCATTGAGTTTAATCAATTTGAGACACGCCTAGCTGCCTGGCCTAGCCCAAATTGTGCTGGGAAAGTGAAAGGAGTCCAGGAGTCCAGGTCCAGGCAAGTTTGCTTGTTGCAAATCTATTATATATTGGTCCTCAATAAATATATGAATTTACATGAATTTGCTGGTCCAATTTCTTTTCTTGGATCACATAGGCACAAGGCCGCTGGACCAAATAAATTGGCAGGTGGACCTCAGAAATTTGGTAGGATGGTTGAATAACCAAACACTGGCCTAGATCATATTTAGTGGTTTGCAAAATTGAGTCCTTCGCTTGAATTTTTAGGTTCTTAAAAAACGGATCCACAAATGAAGTCCGTTGAAGAGCTAATGAATACGTTTATATGCACAATTCGAAGACTGATGAATGTTGAAGGATTGCTGAATGCTAACTGAACTACTATACAATTCTATAGCTGGGTCACTGATGATGACTATACCATATAGTCATCTAGTCGATGATTCAGCTTTAAAGTTTTAAGAAACATCTAAGAACACGCACATCGCGGATTTCTCGAAGCATCTTCTCGGACGATACGAGCCTTTCCCTTTCGACGCGCCCAGGCCGTCGGAACCCTCGCCCCGCGGTCGTCCAGGTGACCGCGACGGCGACTCGTGCGAGGAGACGCCCGAAGCGCCACGGCCCAGTCCCGAGGCCGTGAAGCACCGAAAAGCGCGTTTTTTTTTATTCGCCGACACCTAAGGGCATTGGTGTTTGGTATAGTTATAATTGTAGTTTCTATAGCTGCTTGTTTGATTTGTGTTGTCTTTTCCCTTTCCTTTTAAACTCGTATTGTCTTAGGAGACATGGATTGGTTCATCCAGATTCCGACCATGAGAGTCTCTTCGAGTCGAGTCCCATAGAGCATTGCGAGAAGACCGGAAAGACCTGATGGCGTTACTCGAGCTTCCAGCGAGGTCGTGGCACAGCCCGTGTTAGGCAGTGCAGTCACTACTGTAGGCTCCAGGCCATGAGGACTTATAAACTCCTTATAGATGATAGTAAAGCAATGGTTGGAAGGGATGACCCGGCTATTAATTAGATCAATGGTTGGCAGTTGGGTCCCGCGGTATTAAAAGTGGGGGTGTCAGTCAACTCATTCTCTACCCTATAGGGCTCCAAGTACCTCCTTAGAAGGTATTTGGACCTTCCAAACCCACCCCAAAATCCCAAACACCTTCTCAGAAGATTCAGAAGGTACTTGTAGCCCTAGGGCTAAGGTTTAGCCGTTGATGGGAAGAGGTACGTTCGTCTAGATTGGTGGGAAGGGTGGAGGGGAATCTCAGACCTTGTGACTTGGTGGTATGAAGATGCATGCACATTTAACAAAAACAAGAACAACAACAACTACTACTGCAACAACAACACCAACACCAACACCACCACCAACGACAACACCAACACCACCACCAGCAGCAGCAGCAACAGCAACAGCAACAAAAACAGATGACAACCACATCAACAGCAATATCAACAAACTAAACAAACCAAGTCAAAATTCGTAAATTAACTACGATGATACTGAGCGATGCCAGGCCTCCGCGAGCCTGCGCATCGTGGAGCGCTCTGAAGAACGAGTCCGACTGAAACGCCGCCGGGCAATCTCGATGTGCTGTGATGTGCTTGAGTCATGCCTGGCACCTCCCCCGCCAATCCATGGGTGAACCGGTGTTGACATCCCTGGTTCATTTGATGGAATCTGTTCATGTGATCCGGGGGCCGGGCCGGGTTCCGGAGTTGTAGGTGGGAGACCTCCTGGCCCGGTAGACTGGGTAGACTGGTCTATTGGTCGTTGGTTGGGAGGTCACACCGATGTCACACCCCACATGCACTGCGGCTGAGAACATGACGTGCCTGGAGTCCGGAACTCACCCTGGACATGGTCTATTCTCTTTGGGGGGGAAAGAACCAGGGTCCCCGGGCTGTGTTTGATCCACAGACATGTTGCGACTGGAGCTCGGGTTCATCCAACATCATGAAAAAGCTCTGCGGCTGCTCAAGGGAACCACTGCTGCACAGGACTTCACTGAAAAAAGGATCAGGTCTTGTTGTACCACTGACTTGTGATTTGCTTTCCTTGTACCCTGTGTGCACCTGCAAGAGGCTTGGGGCCAGTTGATGGATGTTGAGGATAAATGAAGATTCTGAAGTGGGTTGACAGTTCGTGACTGAACCGGTTGGGAAGTGACGTGTGGTGTTGATTGCGAAACTGAAACTACTGGCTCCCCCCTACCTCCGCTCGTGAATTCATGCCTCGGACCTTGGGGGGTAGGAGATGTGAAAGTGTTAAGATGTGTTAAGCAGTAAAGAATGCACACTATAGGATACAATCAGAATCCATCAGAAATACTGTAACATGAGATGTATGACACCTGACAACTTAAGACATATATAAGTCTTTTTCTGAGGAATTCTACACTCCAGTCTTACGTAAACAGGGAGTTCCTGATACACAGCCCTCGAACCCGGGGGATTGGCTATCGCGAGGTGGGCTTCGAAGACCCTCTTTGGTGCGGACTTCAACTGAGTTTCAACTCAGAACATCCTAAGAGACGCCCGAACCGTGTCAACCTATAGAAGCCCAGGCTTAGCCTAGTTCCTTATATAAAAGGCATCGTATGAACCTAGAATAAAGTCAAGTTCAGAAGTGGTGACACTTCTTAGTTGAAATCATGTTTGATTAAGCTTTCTTGCAGACACCACTTCTGGATTTCCCAGCCACCCTTCCCATCCGATTCCTTCTCTTCAAGCTCCTCAACAAAGGAACGAACAACGCCGTGCCATCCGCCCCGCGTCATGCACGGCCATCCATGCCTTCCGCGCCGTTGGTTGCAGCCATCAGGTCAGAGTCAGCACTCGCAGGACTCCTCCTGTTTACCGTCCCTGTGCTCCGATGAACCCGCGGAGGCGCCGCCGCGCGGAGCTGGGACGGCGCCAGCGGCAAAAGGGCGGCACAGCACGTCGACGGGCAGACCGATCGGGACAGGGGACAATGTAGGTAAAAATGTTAAACAATTAGGTACATATGAGCTTAAACATTGGAGTGGATTTGGGTGTTATTTGAAGGGGTGCATCGGTGAGGCGATGCGTCACGTGTCAGTTGGTTGGGGTTGTTCTGTCTCGGGTTTGGGGATGCGGTGTGCAGCGTGCAGGCCGGTGGTTAAGTAAGCATAGGTCGCAAGTCGCAAGGACCTGTTCTTGATACCGAGAAGACATGGAGGTGTATTCATGAGCATTTATAACGAGCATCGTTGGAAGAAGAATCTACTTCTGCTTCAATCCTCAGGTATCCTCAGGGTGTTTCCTCAGGGATCCTCAGGGTGTTTATTGTGTTATAGACATTGCAACTTGTTACAGTTTGAAAAGAGCTCCTCCCACCTTCAAGAGCCTTCTTGATCAAGAGCCTTCTTACAGAACCACCATCAAGAGGCTTCTTACAGGACCGCGCAGCCCCGGAAAAAAGCAAATCCTTACATGTACATTAAGTTTTTTCAAACATCAGAAATGGGACACCGGGATATTTGCTTCTTGGGATATTTGGTTTGGCCCGATTTGATTCGTGGCTTCACGGTGTGTCTGAAGCGGAGTTGCCACCCCGTTCGTTTCCACGGGTCGGACACGGCCAGTTGTCACACCGCATGAGCCGCGAGAAGCCGGCACACTGGGCCACCACTTCGACCAACACCTTCGTTGGGCAGGAGCCGCTCCGCTCTGCGTTCGAATTAGACCACGGCGCGGGGGGGGGCACTTGAGAAGAACGAGCCGCAAAAAGCTTGGTGAACTTGGGTCAGCTCGGGGAAAGCGGGGGCTGCTCTACAATGATTGAACATATGCTTTTTTTTATATGGTTTGGTCATCAAAATGCTGGGAGGAGATGAGACCGAAACTCGGCGTGACCGTCGGGTCTGCCGGGTCGAAGTTCATGGCCTATCGGGCCCCGGAGATCGTGCTTTGGTTTCATGCACAACGTGGAAAGCACAACGTGAGTGAGATTGTTTTGGTCCACTTATTCCAACAAAACTCATTTGGACAGAATGGATACAGGATGATACAGGCATGTGTGAGATTCATGGTGCTCAAAATTGGTTGTTCTTTGGCATGGAGCAATCTTGTGGCGATCTACTACTGGCGATCTACTACCCAGGTTCTGTAAGCGAGGAGTTCACTTGCTGCAAATCTTGGTCTTTGGGGCCTAGTGAGGCCTCGGTTGCCGATCGAATCCTGTGGAATTTGGAAGTCAGAGGGTTCATTTTCTCACCCTGGAACTTTCTCCAAAAAAAGGATCCCAAAAAACCGATAAGATAAGCTTATATCCTGGAACAGTGCCAACTCTATATAGAGGCGACGAATGGGAATTGCCATCCCATGACTCTAATAACAGACACACAATGGCTTTTTTTAATTAATAATGATAGCCACCATATTTTATTTATTTAAGTGGCATAATAAGATTAAAAAAAGCAATTAATTTATTCATTACTTTTATATTTCATGATCACAGTTTTAATTAAAAATAACTGTGAGGTCAACGGCTAGCATATAATTTATTATTAATGATAGCCGGACCAAATAATAAGATATAATAATAGATGGCCCGTCTATATCTCTTAATTAATTATAGGGCCATCGTATATTAAAAATATATAAAATATATAATGACGTAGCGGCTATAGCGGCTCCATGATCCTCGCCGCCGGATCCGGCAGGAGGTGCACCGGCAGCAGCAATCGGCACGGATGGCCGCCAGAAAGTTGTCGCTCAGAATGGAATGAAGACAAGGCCGACTGAGTGGGGGGTGTTTTTGGTGGTTTTCTTCTTTATGGTCGCCCTATCCTGCTTCGAATCTAGCCTAAACAGGTGAGCAACTCGGGTTGTCATAAAGAATGAACATCAGTATGTGAACCACACTTTTTTGGGGTCGCCCTTGTTTTGTACTTGGATAATCACTGTCTCAAGCCCATGGGCTCAGCCATCAACATAGTTGCCAGGAAGTGTCTCACCACCTAAGGATCTAGCAGTCAAGACTTGAACAGCACATGAACCAATTTTGTGGCCCCTGAACCCTTTTCCCCCCCACCTGCCAAGCGAGCTTCGCGCTTCTTGCTTCAATTGGAGGACAAACAAACGCATCTCTTCTCCGCTTTTTCGAGCTGAGGACTGATCAAAAGTTGAGCAGTGTGGTGTGCCTTGACCTACCCAGTGAGCAAGCGAGATACAAGAAAACCTGCTTTCACCTGAGACATGGCTCATCAAATCATCGAGAATGGTCATCATCCCAATCTAACACCCAGGTCTGGACACTGGGGACTGCCTGCCATATTTGCTGGTCCATTGAGGTGGTGGTGCCAGGGGGGTTCATCTTGATCGGCAGTCCGACATGGCAGTCCCAGACACGTCGTGTTTGGGACAAACCGGGGTCATGGACACTCCACGGGCCTCGGGCTTAGCAGGACGAAACCTCGCGGGTGTGAGGGTTCGGTCCAGAGCGGGCCGGATCCCAGATCCCAGGGATGACCTCACAACGAGACGTCCACGCGGACAGAGGTCGCGGTCTCTGTCGCTTCCCGTTTGACCCATACCGGTGGACACCGGGTATCTGGGTATCTGGGATGAGTGGGGTATGTAAATGAGGGATGACCTCTCAGTGGGGAGGTTATATAGCTATATAATCAGAAGAAAAACATGTAATAATTGTGTCATATCTTGTCCATGTCACTGTCAGGTCATTCGGAAGGTTTGCGAGCCCATGAACTGGACTCCTTCAACATGAAATCGAACAAACGGCCACCCCAAGCGGAATCGTGGACACCGTTGCACAATGTCTCACGGTCTCTTCGCAGTTTGGATTCTTTCCTTCGTCAAAAGGTCTGCCAGCAGCATGTCCTATGCCACTCCAAGAAAAAGAAGTAGAACATCCCCTCGGAGTCCAGTCTACCATTTTAAACATGGTCTACCCAGAAGATCCGCGTCCAGGAATGTCATTTACTTTTGCCAAACATGGCCGCCATGGACTTCTATACCAGGCCCCCCTGTTTGGGGTGGTGAACGGACATCTAAGGAGCTATAATTGGACACCCCGAATCGGGGGCCCTGGTAGGGATATTTATGAGGCTTACGCCTGACAGCCGGGCGCCGGCCTATTTGGGTTTGGGTGTGTGCAGGGCTGGGTCCTCTCTCTCTCTTTGAGACTTGGTGGGGCCTATATATTGAGCAAAGTTAAGCTATCTGGTGCGCATCTTGGCCCTAGGTTGGGCCAAGTTGAGCCCATGTGGTCTATGTTGGGCACATCTTGGGCCCAAGTTGAGCCTATGTTGGGCCTAGGTCGGCCTATGTTAGGCCTAGGTTGGGCCTATATTGGGCCTATGTTGGCGTATGTTGGCCCCATGTTGGCCCTATGTTGAGCCATCTTGGAGGCTATGTTGGGCATATGTTGGGGATATGTTGGCTATCTTGGGCCTATGTTGGGGATATGTCAAGCAATCTCTGTGCCCAACACCAACGAAATGTCGATTAAGCTTGTCCGCGCTGCACGCATTACCGACACCACGGGCGCCCTGTTAGGCGAAAGTCGTGGACGCCGAAGGCCACAAAGCACTGTAAAAATCAATGTTTTTGAACATCCTGCGCAAGATACATATAAATCTGTCGACCGGATTCGGGCGGGGGTCGGGCGGGAGTATAGCGGGGGTCCAACAAAAGGGTCGGCGGCAGTGTCCTCGCCGGAGGCCTTCGGTGGTAACCGAAGGTTATAGACGGTCGCGCCTCCTGCCACCGACCCTCGTTCCCAAAACGGGGGGACCCCGTCGTCACTACCGGGTCACTGATGCCCCTGTAATTTACAGTGTATCGTGTGTGTGAGGTATCAAAAACACTGTGTTTTACAGGGTTTATTGCGCATATCGAAGTACGACGCGGGGAAAAGGGAGAAATGCAAAAATGCTGTGTTTTTCAAAGGTGGTGTCGGTAATGCGCGCCGGGCGGACAGGCTTAATCGACATTTTGTGGGCAGAGGTCCTCAACATAGGCCCAAGATAGCCAACATATCCCCAACATATGCCCAACATAGCCTCCAAGATGGCTCAACATAGGGCCAACATAGGCCAACATGGGGCCAACATAGGCCCAACATAGGCCAACATAGACCACATGGGCCCAACCTAGGGCCAAGATGTGCACCAGATAGCTTAACTTTGCTCAATATAGGGCCCCGTCTCCGACGCGGACCAGTTTCCGGCACCACCAGGGCCCAGTGTATGTCGATAGCTTAACGTGCGCCCGACCCAGCCCTACACAGACCCAAGTGGGCCGGCGCCCGGCTGTTAGGCGTAAGCCTTTAAATCCATAGGACTGAAATTCATGCCGATCCTATTGACCCCTTTCAACCAGTCCAACGTGGACAAACATGCCAGTCCCATGTGTCGTTTTTGAGTTTTGCTTAAACTAAATTTCCATCGAAAGGGTCTATCCTTTTGGTCGCAGACATCAGTTGTCTGATGTCGACCCAACTTTCTTCACGGCTTCCGCCATCGAAATCCTGGGCTCCGCAGTGTTGGTATCGATCCGGCGCTGTCTGTTAGCAGCTCTCCGGGTGTGGCGCACGCGAAGACGGTGTTTGTGAGGTATTGGTCTCAGAGGCCAAAGGACAACAATGTCGCGTATCAGGTCGTTAGCTCCTCATGGCCACTGGGAAAAGATAAGTTTTGTTTGAAACCGACCAGTTGGGCAAGTTGGCGTTGTTTGAAGTTCTAGACTGGAAGGGAAGCAATCGATGTTGGTGCATAGAGGGTCTTTTGGGGGGGCTGAATATAGGATGATGTGAAAATTTGGGTCAATGGATGGCAGACTTGCAGGAGTGTGTATAACTAATCATAGCTTTGGGTCAATATGGCATATGGTGGTTTTGCTTATAAAGTCAGGTGATTTGCAATGGTTTCACCCTGCTGAATGCAACTTTGGCGATCGTCCCACCCATAGACTAACTATATAAGTTGTTCGAACCAATTGAGCCTAGACATTACAGCTGCATTTTACAATCATGTACCAGATGTGCCTTGAAACCAACAGCATGGCCTCTCCCGGAGTCCCTCTGGGGTGCTTGTTGTCCACTCAGTTAGAGTCCAAAAGAGCTATCAAAAGAGCTATTTGTTGGGCCTGTCTCATTTACACAATGCAAATCACTCTTTTAGAGATGAAAAGGCCTGTAGTGGGGCCCCATCATCATCCACTGGGCCCTGGTAATAGGATCTACCGTGATCTATGGGGAACATCGAAGGAATCCATCTTCGTTTGGGAGCTTCGTCTTATCGAGGTTCGTCTACGGCATCTCTGTGGTGATCCTGATTAATATGATCTTGCTGGGCTTCGAGGTAAATCTCGCGGCTGCAGTTGGCCAGGCACTTCTTAGCTCGAAGTTTGTTTCTCACATGTGACTCTTTCCAGTTTCTTGAGAGAGACGTCCGGCTTGTTAGCTTGTTTTTTGGTCAAAGCTGCGTGGTTTCAGAACCCTGAAGGAGAGGAGTATAGAGGAAATACATCTTGGGGGATTGCTTGTTTGTCATGTTTTATGACCCTGCTTGCTTTGTGCATAGCAATGCTCGAGGAGAGTGTGCCATTATTTTTTGGCGTAGCCAACGCGACGGCTGTGGGGATCTTTGCTCTTCAGCGCCATTGGTGAGGGTTTGGCTCGGTAATTAGCTGGAGGATGAAGATACATTTGTAATATAACCTCCCACCCAGTGGACCTTTGGTTTGGTCGGAAAAGATGGGTCAAACTGGTTCCAGGTTCCAGGTTGCGCCCCCCAATATACCCGAGTGGATCCCGTTTTGAGACATGTCATGATCAGAGTGAAGACTTGGTCATCAAGATGCAAAGCTCTGGCGTTCTCAACCACCTCCTTCGAAATCACGGTTGGCATTTGGGTGTGTGTTGCTTGTTTGTAACATGTTATGTTGTACAATGTTGTACCCTAAGCATCATTGGACCCTTTCATGGAGGGTTTGACCCTGCATGGCAGGGGTTTGGACCCTCAAAACCTTCACCTTTGAGGGTCCTTCCTTGATCTTTAAAGTGATGTGCTTTACTTTTTGTTTCACAGTGCTTGCTTCCGATTGAACACCCTGAAACCCTGTTGCTACCCGCTCTACATGTTTGTTTGGAGGGAAAAACCATTTGTGCAATGTGGTAGACTCGGTAAACGTTCAGGTCATTTCCAGGCATTTCGACCAAGCATTTACCAGTATAGTTGAAGATCCAGGCATGCCATCGGAAGGGACGGAAATCACTGTGATGTGCTTTTGTGGCAAGCCACGCACCGAATCGCCAAGACTCAGGTTATTGAGCTGATGCTCTCTTTCATCGCCTTCGGGATCAGGACGCCAGTCCAGGATGCTCTGTGAGGGCTTGAGATATCCTGAAGTGCAGATTCGCAATCCTGTAAGGCTTTGACATTATCTATGTTTGTCCTCAATGACTTGGGTGTTCTTCTTGAGACCTGTGGACAATTGGTTTATTGAGATCTTATAAACTTAAATCCATGTTAACAGAGTGGCACTTCCCCCAAAAAGGCTCATTCTCATATCTTGTCATGTTTTCTTCATGTGTCAGGAGATTTTTCTGTGGTGCCGACCGAATTTGGAATCTGTTTGTGGCTCGGATCTGGCGGATCCGGCTCGGTCGCGTGGGCCCCTTTGGACGGAGGGCCTGCACGCAATCTCGCTGGTCCATCCGATCACCAGACAGCCTCCCAGGCATCCTTGAAACACACATCCTAACACATTTCCGTCCTCACCTCCCACATCCCTCACTCATCGGGAGACATGACATTCATGGCGGTCAAACTTTCACCCTATGTACAAACCATGGGTTCCGTTGACGTCCATTCTCAACAAGGTAGACATGCTCAGTGTTCCTGTTCATCCGTGGTCTCAAAAACCCAAGGGTGTTCATCCGGGGGTTGGATTTGTCACCCACGAACTCGATCGGAAAAAAGACCAACCTGGGTGACTTCTCCACTGACAAAGATCAGGTCTTCTTGTCACCACAAAAGATCCCATCGACTCGCTTTTCTGGCTTTGGACCTGATGGGGTGTTCCTCCGAAGTGTGTGTGAGGTCTATAGAGGAGTCATGAGGAGTCTAGAGGTGATAGCAGAACTGATAGCAGAACTGAAGCCCCTAGCGCCCCTAGCTAGTGGGTCCACACATGTCCACACCTAGGTGATGGTTTTCGGAGATGTCTATTTTTCAACCCTGACTTGGGGATGATGAAGGACCCTCTAGAACTCCTATTTTTCCAGTTGGGTTGAAAGCACCAACCAGACACTGTTTGGGGAAAGCACCACAAAGACGCCCAAACGCCCAACGGAACGCTGAGGACTTCTGCATCATCACCTTGTCGGTGCTGGAGACGGCCACCGAACTCTGGGCCCGCGCCACCGTCAACGTCGGTGACTCCCAGGCCGTGGTGAAAGAGAAAGAGAGCTTCACAAGTCCAAGGGTATACATGTTTCTACTTCAACATGAGGCTGCTAGTGAGTGTGTCAGATCTGTGATGTCGCAGCGTGTCAGCGCCGAACCGTGCCGAACCGTGCCTGCTTTTTGGACAGAAGATTGGGTTTTAAGGACTCCCCCCCCAAAACGGGTTTGAGTCCAATAAGATCTCAATAAGATCTCAATAATCATTTTCCACATGGTTTTAACGTCATGTGATAAGTCTGTTTTGGAGAAGTTCCCACATCATCACCTCCCACATCACCCACCTCCCACAGCGTCTGCTACTTCGGTCAAGTCCCGCGGCCCGGCGCGGCTCGGAGGTGAGCACGTCTCAGCTTCGCTTCTTCCGCTCGGTGCGCCTCGCGCGCGCCTTGCGTGGTGTGCGCATGGTGCGGCTCTTGAGGCAGGGCGGCGGCAGTGACGGGACAGGATGGGCGGAGGATGGGCCGTTTGGGGTTGGACTTGTTTCGTGTCTTTCCTGTTTGACAAGTCCAACAGGGGGTTGGGTGTTTTTTTCTTGTCTTGTTTTGTTTCTGTTTGTTGGGTTTGACAGGGGTTTGGACGGGCAACATTTTAAGAACAGTGTCCTGCTGTTTCAACAAGGTTGAGCAGGGGGGGTATGGTAGCCAGCAGAACCTCAGAACTGCTGTGCTCAGACACAAAGCCAGGGGAAGGCAGGACTTCCGGTTTACATGTCTACCGTTTTGCAGGGGAACAATAGCATGCTCATGAAGTTTGACAAGTTTCCTTCCATTCACCAGAGAGAAGGTGATTTGAGAATGTGAGATGAACGCTGTAGTGTTCCAACAGATGTGGTTTTCATACTGTGTTTTGACGTTATTTCTTTGTTTCATTTGGGTTTACCCAGAGGTTTGCGTCAGTGTTGACCGAAACAGTGTCTCACCCTCTTGACATATCTTGACATCAACCTCCTCGGATCAAGCAATGTTTGACCAGTCATCGGCAGTCCACCGCGTGCTAGGCATCTCATAGACCTTTCAATCAGCGCATAACATGGACGTCCACAAAATGTCTCTCCATGATACGTCTCTCCACAAGAATGGATCTTTGTTGGTCAGATCAATATGAAGTGTCTGACAAGGCCACAGTATGATGATAGATATAGGAGTGATGTTCACCCTCTAAAGACAGGTGTTTGAGACAAGAATAAAGTAAAATAGCAGGATCTCCATTAAGAAGAGATTTGTTGAATTATCCCAGATATGCTTTAGAGCAGTGCAGTGATCTTTTTCAACGGCCCTTTTGCTGACTCACTTCGACACAAAACTGGTGAGATACTAAGATCAACCTTTAATGGTCAGATGATGTCACATCCAGACTCCTCAGTCGTTTTTATTGGGTTGAGTTGCGTAGTTGGTCTAGCTGTTGTGACTTCAAAAGATTTTGCGACTCCTGTTGGTCCTTATCGAACGCTGCCTTGACTCCACAGCGCGCGATTGAACGGCTTTTGCAGCGCGCGTCTGCTGCGATTTGCAGGTATGTGGGTGCTTTAAGGACTTTGGTGCTCTCCATCGCCAGCAGCATGGCATCCTTGCTCTGGACACCGAACGTGTGCTCTTCACACTTTGAAGAAAAAACAGTTCATCCTCGTTTAAATAAGAGGTTTGTTGATGATACAAGTACATCGCACTGAATAACAGCGATCACTCACCATGTGTTGCTTCACTGTGGAAGGTCCATGGAAGGAGCAAGTGAAAGACATGCGTTGCTGGTGTGTTCTTTCTTTGAGCATATTTTTGAAGCTGTATATTAACTTTTCTACTCTTTCTTGGCCCATGCTCAAGCACCCGCCCAGTGACGCAATCCCACGAGGACTCTGGTGCTGTTGGTCCTCATTTGCTACACCTTTGGTGCTTTGGCACTGTCAAACCCGGGCCTCAGTGGCCTCCAGCGCTGTGTGATAGAGCGTTCCAACCTGCAAGAGCGGACGGTCTTTGGCAAGACGGTACACGTCTTTGGGCTGTGGGTCAGGGCATGTTTCGACTGTTTGCAACGTGACACCCGGCATGCGCATGACAAGTTCGCCTGCAACATGACACCTAAGATGTTCAACGATGTGTCCAAGGCATCATGTTTACCCAGATGGTCTCTGACTATTGCCGCTATGAGGCCGGATCGGAGTGTATCGTTCTTTGGATCCCGCTTGATCCGTCCCTTTGGTCCTTTCGCCCACAAGCAATGATGGGACAGAGGCCCTTGACCCCTTGATATGTTTTTTTTGTTTTCAACAACCACACATACATACTGTTACATACACACTAGTGGTCATCAACTGATTGTTACAACAATCATCAAGAATCTAATGTGAAGAAAACAATAAAACAAGCTTGGAGTTCAAGGCACATGATTCCAAGAGATACGTTTGCCAGTTATAGAACTTTGTGACAGCACAGATCGTCGTTAAAAGACAGATACGTGTTGTTCCAGCCACCATCAGCTCGTTCCTACAACTTTCCCGTTGAACCTATATACCCTTGCCCTGTCGTACTACCACTATGCAGACTATGCAGCTCACTGCGCATTTCTCTGATGGGTGAAGATGATGATTCCTTTGCATTGTTTCAGGATGTTTAAAGCACTATAAAGCCTTTAACGAACAGGACGATGACCAAACCAAACCCATGTGTTTGAATGTTTTTTATTGGTGTGGTGTGTTTATATAAATAAACATACACATGAACAAACCCGATCCCTACCCTCGTGTGACCACTCTCCACCACTCTCCGCCACACTTCCTCCAAGCCGCAGTTGGGTTTTTCCACGATGCAGAGCTGTACGCCGGTGGTTGGGGTCTACTGGTCAAGCCTGGAGGCGTTCTGAGTGCTGAGTCGTGGTTTGCTTCGAAGGGGGCTCCGGCATGTGTTCCTCGGATGCCTGACATGTGTTGTAATGTTTTGTCTTATATATTAGGAGAATTTAGGAGATGTTGTTGGAGTCCTTTTTTCCCCAATTATCTTAAGCTCGTCGGATTGGTGAATAGGACTTTGCTGACTCATCAAATCCATCAAATTCATCATGTTTAATCTCCAAAGGGTTCGCAAGCTCTTTCGGGGATTGTGACATCCCATGACATCCCATGACCATCACTATAGGACTTTGCTTCCTATTCAGATCGTCCAGCGCATATTCATGCTCATCCCAGTACTACCCCATCACCACGCACGCTTCACTCTCTCGTGCTTTTTTGGCGCTTTGGGCAGGAGAGTATGTTGACGCTCTTCATGACCATCTCTGGTGGAATCAACTGGGGCGAGACCTTCAGACCCTTGATCGATGCTCGGGCGAATGTGGCGATGTGGAAGACGATGTGGAGCGAAGCTGTGTTTTCGGAAGCTGTGGCTGGGATCGGGAGTGTTGGGCGGTTCGTTTTGCTTAATAGATGATATAGATTGATATACTACTGTATTAAATTATATATATATAGATGTTTATACTTCCCGACCTGGGTCAATCTTTTGGAGAAAACAATTTTTTGTCCGGATTTCCCCAAACCAGCAACTCCAAGCAGCTGTTGGGAATTTGAGGGAGGCAATGGGATTTCCCTGCTTTTTCTTTCAAACTCGGACATCTCTTTCAGGATGGTCCGTCAATTTTCGACTGCGTGCCACCAAAGCGCACCCCTTTTCTTATGCTGTATGTCATGTTGCGTAACCATGTCTAGCCAAGTTCCTTGCAGTGCGTCCAGTCAATAGGACCGAAACCACGAAACCGGAAACTGAACGGGCTTGGCGATGTGGATCCGTGATCTGTGAGTGGTTCGATGACGATTTGGATTTGTTGGGCCCGTTCTTTCTGCCGATTGGCTTAAATACAGCATACAAGAATGCTGCCTTTGCCTAGGCTGACGGAAGGGCAACAAATAATCAAAGGTGTGCATTGATTCATATGCCAAATACTATGTGAGTGGGTTGTGGGTAGCCCAACTAGAAAACATCTACCTACCCAATTACCCCAACATTGTATTATGAGCAACCAAGTTCGAATAGGGGTCTCCCCCAAAGACCTGGGAATTCATCAAAAACACCGTGAATCCAGTGGTTGGGTGGTTGGGAAGTCTCCCTGTTCAAGACCAAACCCTTGGGGTGTCTTCTTGGGCCTTAAGCAGGGGGGGGCGGTTTAGGCGCCATCAGCTCAGCCCGCTCAACTGGGGAAGGCTAGAGGAGCTGCAGCTAGAGGTTCAACAGAGGCCGCCGGGACGTCACAGGGCCCACTTTACAAGTCCAAACCCACTTGGATCTGCCAAGGTGCTTGCTTGGGCAAGCCCTGTGTGGATCGGCATGTTAGTTGTCCTTAGGGTCTTCGACATGGACAGAACATCGCAGGTGCGACCAAACAACGGTCCACGAGCAGCGTAGTTGTTGAAGAAGCACACGTCTGACTTCCAAAAGGGGCATCAGCCCACAAATCCAAGGCAGGCTTTGTCCCCCAGCAGTTTGATGCGAACCTGATGGGATTTTGTGGACATTGTTTCTATAGCCTTGTTTCATCACCATGGAGCTGTTTCTTGCCTAAGCCCATCTAAACCATTCTAAATCTCAAAGGCATCAAACTTGGAGCCTCAAGACGTTAGAATCACAACAACCGAGTTCTCACATCTGCCATATGTCGACCCACAAAGAAACACATTAAAAAGGTAACGCCCCCAAAGCTGATAGTACACTCCGTCTCACTGGAAGTGGAGCTTCTCCACCTGATCCGAAGACGGAAAACCGCCTTCCCACCGTCTTCCCAGGCCTCTTCCCACAAATCCATGGTGACTGAGTCAAGGTGTAGATCCTAGATCCGAAGACGTGGTGTACTCCAAACCAGGAAAACCCGAAAATCCCGTAACCAGGGTCCACGCGTTCTGAACCTGAGACGCACACGCACGCGTCGGAACCAAACCCGGGTTCTTCCGAACCCACCGCCTCGCCACCCGAACTTCCCCGCTTCCCAAAAGCTGCGCCGAGCGGATCGCGGATCATCGGAATCGGCCCAGGGAGTTGGATGGTTTGCGATGGTGTGCCATATCATTTTCATCACCATCGCCGTGCTGGCCGTGGTCGCGCGGAGAAGGGGGTGGAAGTTGGGCATTTGGCATCAGTGAGGGGGGGGGTTCAAGGCAGTGAGAAGGGTAGGAAGGGTGGATGGGTTTCATCCCATGAATGAGAATGAATGAGAAAGATGGGTTTCATGATTCATCTCATGAGTCCATGAAGAAAAAAACCGTTTCACCACCTTCCCAGCAGGGTCCTGATGGGTCATCGCTTGGAATGATTGCTTTGCAGTGTTGGAACCCTACGACACTGACACTGGCACCGGGAGATGGGGAGGGTCTGACTTGTGCGGTTTCAATGTTTCAAGAGCCACACGCTTCAAAGTCTTTGACCGCTGTAACAGACGAAGGAATGGGCACTGAGGACACCGAGGGAGAGTCGGACGTTTCTGAAGAGAGGATGGACACATCCGATCCAAATGTGTCTCAGGTTTTCCCGTTTTGAACCCGAATCTTTCCCTGATGACGGTCGTTATGGGCGATCGGATGGATGCTGGGTACAACATGATACAACTAGGCAATCCCTGGACTGCCATCAATACACAAGCAACTATAGTGTTCACATCGCAATAATGAACCAACCCCCTAGTATATTCTGGCGGGCAAAAACACTTTTGCTGCAACAATCAACTCTCCCGCAATAATAAAGCTCGGACCTTATAATTGGACAGAACTAAAAGGGCAGTAGGAAGGAAATGACACGACAAGTTATTTTTCAGGATATGCTGGAAAGATATGTTCATTGTACAGCAAAGTTCGGTTTACAATTACAAAATAGTTGAGAAAAGTTTGATGTACAGTGCAAACGTAAGTTACTTAGGAGACGGTTGCAATTGAAACAATCTTTTTGTTAATGACAGTGGTCTATAAACTTTTAGGGCCTTGGCATTCGTAAGGGGCACCCTTGTAGAAGACTTGATTGAATTCAATGCTTTTGAATGCGTTTTTTTGACTGGCTACAAGATGTCAATTTGCTTCTTATGTTTGATCAAATTAATAAACTTGTTTTTAAAGATTAGAAAGAGAGGTCTAGTGTTGTACAGCAGAAAGCTGTTTGTTTTCTGAAATCAAAACAGACGGGTATTAGCGATAGTAGTATTAGTATTTGTAGAGATCAAACTCACGAGTATTGTGAATATGTTTCAGACAAAACTGCATGGTTTATGATTGGCAAGTTCAGAGATCGAATTGTGCGAGCATTGGATCAAATTACGCACGTATTGCATTTTTTTTGGGGTGACAATTTAGGTTCCCTGGAAGTCAATGACCATTTTAATATCGTTGATCTGGTTTTGCAGTGTAAAACCGTAAAACAATGGTGGTTCGGTATGACCCGGCTATTAAAACAGTGGTGGTTCGACTTCTAGGGGGGGGTTGTATGGTGTTTTTCGAGAGAACTGGCGGGAGAACTGGGCGGGAGAGAAGTCAAGCTTGCCCTTGGCTCGTGCTATGTTGCTGTGATGTGAACAGCACTATCACATCTATACACAATATTACGCGATAGATGTACAGTGTCCGAGGAACATGTTGAACACTGCGTCGATACCGGTGCCCAAAGCACCAGAAAAATAAGCACACTGACTAAAACCCATTGTTTCTTGATCCCAAAGCAATATCGTGATACTTGGCTTCCTGAAAACACCTGGTAAATACGGCGGTTTTTGGCTTGCCGTTTACATCATTGGTATTTACATTGCTGTTAGGTTCCTAATGCGAAAACAACATGCAAATACCGCTGCTTTTGCGTCCAGGTTTAAGAACATTGATTTACATTGTTGTTGGGCTCCTACTGCAAAAAGCCATGGCAAATACTGTACCGGTGCTTTTGGCTTGTTTTGGCCTTTGCCAATGTTCAAAACCATCGGTATTTACATGGTCTCATGGTCTCTAATGAGTTTCTTGAGAATGGCCCTGTCTCATATACGCCTAAGTCCCTCGCACGACATAAGGGGAACAAGTTGCCTCTTCTCGGGGGCGCCACACAATGGCCCCGGAATCCAAAGGGGCCAGAGGAGGGTCGAGCCACAGGGCCAAATCCTGGGCAACGCTTTTCCCAGGGAAAAACATATCGACGGTCAGCAGTGAATAAAGACATGTACAGGACTTGCCACTTGCCAAACGTTTGGCCGATGTATGTCAGTTTTTTGGGCAGTAGTTTTTTCAAGCCAACATCACAGCGACATCCCCGAACACACCGGCCCCGCTCCGCTCCACTCACGTTCACAATCCCGAGTGCCTATTAATAAACACTCCCCTATCAAAGAGCACCATTTCGGAAACCCTAAATACGGTGTATATTTATGTTTAAATTACCGCCCGTTAAAACCACTACTACTAAACTGCCAACATGGTCGATTTTGGTTGAGGCTTTGTATTAGATTACAAAATCAACCCTAACTGCCCACCTCTGTCCACCTGTTTGTCCACAATGACCAATGACACGCGGGTTTACACCAGCAGGTTTCCTTGCCCCAATGGCACAACGATGCTGCGCAGAACCGCATGGCACAGCGACATCACCTTTCAAAAACTTTAAGTTGTTAGTCTAATGAAGTCTTTTAAAAAGTCTGTGTAAAGGGAAAAGGAAAACCCTTCGAGCTGATTCGAACTGGAGTTGTTTCCATTGTTGTTAGAGGTTAATTTAAACGTATTCAAACAACAGTTTTCCTGGGTGACTTTTCGGTTTTGAACCTCTTCCCAGGATTCTGCGCAAAATCTGCGCCCGCCAGGAAAACACAGATTATTCAATATCCCCTCTTTCAGGGACCCTCTATTGACAAAAATGCCCCCCGAGTTATTGTTAAAAGGGGGGGGCATAGGTGGAAGGGATTAGTCCTGGACCGGGGTCGGCGGGTATTTCTGCGCAATTTAGAACGAGGGCTGACGAGGTACGAGGTGAACCTTTGTAATTTAAGCGAGGTGATTTAACTTAAATTCAGAAAACGAGGTGGGCAGAAATTGCCTTCAAAGCACGTGTAGCGAGTGAAAAAAAACTTTTCGGTATCCAGAAAGATCGCAGCTTTCCCAGGTTTTTTGTCTTTCATCATTTTGGTGCAAACCATTCCTTTCGAGCTCTACGCGTTCTCTTATCCCTGTTACACTCAGCCATCAGCGTGAACTAAGTGCAAGGGCGCAGAATTAAGGGTACATTCAGACCCCGTGAAAAAACAAAAGCTTACTTGAGTTTAAACAGTTTCTTTTTTTATGTCGTAAGTTCAAGTCAGAGCCCTGTGGTGGCCCATCGTCCCAGGAAAAAACAAAGTCATGGCCTGATGTTCTTAGTATTTTGGGGTGGCGTATGTCATGTTTGTGCGGCCGTTCCGTGCCTATGGGTTATCCGCGCCAGTCATGGCCAGGGTTGCCGCGGTTTAGTGGTATGGTTCGCGCTTCCATTCGCGAGGTCTCTGGTTCAAGCCCGCCCTGCGCTGAGATCAAAAACATACCTTTCATCGCCCAACATTGTTTTTTCCTCACAATGCGCGCCCCCCTCGGCCACCCTATCGCCCTGAGATCGAAAAAACTGCTCGTCGCCTAAAAAGTTTTTTTTTGCCGACAATGCCCCTACCTGTCCTTCCATCTTACACAAGATGAGCCCTCTGAAAAAGCGGGCGAAGGAGGCAGAGGACTAGTTCGAATGGCTTGCGGTCGGGAAAGAATTGATAGCATTGGGACGAGGGCTGACGTCCGTTTTGAATTTAGCAAGGCGAAGACTGCAGGTTTAGTCAGAGGTGAAAAGTCGATTCCAGACGAGGCAACCGTTTTGAATTTAACATAAACTGACCAGATAATTGTGAGCAAGCACTCTTGAGTGCAGTGTGTTTGTGTTTGGCCCTTTCTGGCAGAACTAAGGTAAACGTCGTGACGGGAGTTTTCTGCACAACCGCGCAGCTTGCTTGCACTGGAATTTGTGGACCAGATCAGGCAAGTTTTGCACTTCACCTGCAAGATTTGGCTTGAAAAGGAGGAGGAAGGGCGGAGAGGAGGAGGTTTTATCATTTTGGGCTTGACTTTTGGCTTTTACCAGCAAGACTTCCGCAAAAACATGATCACAACCAAGGATGGAGAGCGCGGCTGCAGATAAGGACAGCTTGGCAGATCTCTCTTTTCCAGCCACTCCATGGGACTGGCATATTTGCCTACAGGCTGAAAAGGGGTCAATGTAGGCATATATTCCATACATGGAGTGTCTATGCTGTCTATGCATATACCTGGTTGGTCACGACTCGCAGCATCATGCGCCAACCTTGTGTTTGTTCATTGGTTTGGGGTTGTTCCGGGTGCTGCCTTCTTCCATCAACCCAAACCTCCAGTGAACCCACACAACCGGGGGGTACGCATATCTCCTTACCACCACCATCATCCCCACGAATGTCCATCCAAACCTGTCGTTGACTACTGAAATGTTTGAATTCGCTAAATTGTTTTTGGTGGTTTTCCATTGAAATGGGCCAGCAAACATTGACTCGATGGTGCATTGCATTCGATGCTTTGAGTCAACTAGATGCTAGCTCGTTTATCTCGCTTTGCATTGGTATTGTTGCCCTATCCCTGCCTTTTTGACGATGATGTTCATGGTCCTAGCAAACCCATTTTACAAACACTGCTCCCAGCATTTCATGGCACGCAGGAAATTGCGACAATGAAACAACTTCAAAAGAGACTCGGCATCACCAGAGAGCTCTTCAAGTTGTTTGATGGTGGCTCCTTGAGCACCAGCAGATGAACCAACATATGCATGATGGCAGATGTTGGTTCACTAGAGGTTGCTGGAGGTTCCTGGTTTCAACATTTTTTGCATGGAAGATACACGTCGTCCTGTGCTGTTCATGTCATGGGCAGCTCATGAGGAAGAGGACCCGTGACGGGTTTTCCCGGCACACCATTCCATGTCAAAGGGATGGTACTGGAACATTTTGGTGTTCACATGTTGTTCATTGGTGCTTGCAAGATTCCACTGGCCTTTTTTTGGCACCTTTTGTTGGAAAGAAACGGATTGTTCTATGACTTTAGCTGACATAAACACAAGAGATGGGCATGTGAATCTGAATTCTGAAATTTTTGGGCATGCAAAACCAATGCATGCCATTGACGTCGGTTCGGCGTTCGGTTCGGGCCGGCGGACTTGCGAACTGTGGACCCTTCGGGCGTCATCGGGTCCCTGGGATGAAAATTTGCATGACATGAGCGACCCCTTTTAGAACCACCAAGTACTAAAATAGGGAGACCTCCCAGTTCGACCCTCTGGAAGCTTCGGGAACTAGACCAACGACATTTCATTGGGCCAGGAGACCTTGTGAATTTACAAACACACGCCCATGTGGCGGGTACCGTGGGTCAAGTGGATTTCAGCAGACTCACAGGGGGGTTGGTATACCTGGAACTTCCTCAGTGATTTTGTGTTTTAAATCTGCAGCATGACAAACATGGGAGTCACAGCCTTATATGTGAGTCTGCGGCGTGTTTCTCTAGTTTTCTGATAGCTAAGCCTTCCTTTTTCATCGTTGTCTCTTCTAGCCGAGCTTTGGGAAATCGCTTCCATCTTCCATCCTCTCCTATTCCACAGGCGTCCACACGCAGCCAGCTCGCCCGCTCAGCTCTCATACCCCGCCCTTCGTGCTAAAAAACGTCGTCACCCCACCGACCGAACGCGGTGTGCCGTACGTCGTTCGTCCGCCGTGACTGTCGGTGGCTTCGACGGAGCCTTCCAGGAAGAACGCGCAACTTCAAGACCTGCGGGACGCCTTCGCAGAGATTGTGGATAGCGAATCCAACACGGTCCGGAGATCCGGTGTTTCTTGCGGTCCGTTTGTTAAGTTTGACCGGTGATGAGAAGGTAAGGTCTATGAGGAAGACATATTGAAAACATGCGATCACAACAAATGTCCAATGATGGATGTTCAAGAGAGGTAGTTGGGATAGAGACTGTTAAGATCTAAGATCTGGCCAGTGACAGTATGAACCTCTATTGATCACTGACCAGGTATTAAGTCGAGTGAGCAGGTTTTTTGATGTTTTGGCTAATCTTTTGGTGGGGCTAATGGAGCTGAAGCCACCCAAGAATCACTTCAAGGCATGCCATGGCATGCAATCAAAACATAAACAATTGGCGGAAAACAACATACCCCTTTATGTTGGGTTGGTTTGAGGGAAAAACATCCTTTGAATTGCCCTACTCTCATGCATTTATATAAAGGTGCTTGAAGTGATTTGGAGAGACATGCGGAGACATGTGATCATGTTTTGAATGGAGAGTCATGTTTCTTTTGCAGACATTTGATCATGAGATCGTGTTGATCCTCCAGCCCATGCCCTGATTCCATCATATTCCATCTATTTCGATTCCATCCATTTTCCGCACCGAAACAAACATCCTCGTCCTCATCCTCACCTGGCCACGCGGCGCCGTACGGCCGCTTCCGCCTCTGGCGGTCGCCCGACCACGTGCGGAGGTGAACATCGAGGACTTTTCCAAGGCCATGAGCAGCGCGCGCTTCCGACATTTCTTGGCGCCTCATCGGCCGATGAACATCGGAGACGACAGCGGATGGATGTGGTTGTTTGGGTGGTGGATGTAGAGGGAGCCGGTGGATGGGAGCTGGTGAAGTGTCCCAAGGACCTTCTTCCCGCACAACTGACATTCTTTATTCGCCAAACGTCCTATGGAAAGCTCTCAAGACGGAGAGTTAGAGTTGTCGCGGACAGTTTCCTTTTCAAGGAGCCAGCGCAGATTCTACTGGTCTACAACTTGTTTGTTTCAACCATTGGCAGAGGATATTCCCAGATTCCTCAGCAGGGTGGTTTCCAAAGCAAATGACTCTCCCAGTTAGCCCATCATAGCCCCTGATCCTGACCAACATGGACCAACATGATAGAATTGGTTGATTTGGCAATTTGGCTCGTTTGGGTGATCTGTGGACCATGCGCAGGGCTGGCTGATGGGGCGGCAAATATGCCAGCGCCATTTGTCCTGTCTGGGTACCCTCTAAGTTTGTTGGAGGACACTCCATGGAACACATGCTGCCGCATTGATCCCTCCAACCGCCCCAGCTGCTTGGTAAACATTCCATTATATTCCGTCCATCAAGTGTTTGGATTCTTTCAGGGAGATACAGATCTTTTCTGTTCGAGCCTTGCCCTCCTCTTCGGGCCAAATCCGCGCCCCGGCCCCAGGAATCCATGAGCATCTCCACCACGGACCGACCGAAGCGAAGAAGCCGACCGAGCGGTGAGCGGAAAGAAGCGTCGCGGTGCTGAAGTCGTGTGGCCAAACATGAGGATGGTTGTGAAGAACTGCAGAGGATGGTTCCTGGAGGCTTTCATTCACATGTGCAGGAATTTTTGTTGGTGGATAAGAAGGTGGATATATAGGATTCATGATGGTTCTTGTTTAGTCCTGCACACCACTCAGTTCGGTAACCAGAATGAACTGCATGCATTTTACTGCAGGTGATATGGTGTGTCCTTCATGGTTCCTTTCATTTCCTTTCAATTCTAATAAGATGTTGAGGAGGCGGGGTTGGTTGAACTTGTACTGTGGTGAAGACAAAATTGTACTCGGAATCAACAAGACTGCGCAACATTGTCCAGGACATTGACATCCTTTTCACCATTATCGACACTGATCAGAGTTCCTTGGATAGTTTAGCCGTGTCTCATGATGCCCACTTCAATACAAACCGACTCTACCGAAAGAACTGGGGGATGTTTAGATGGCTGAGTACTGCCCTTTGATGTTTTTTCAATTTTTTTTGTTGTGGTGAGGGAACCAAATGAAGCTGTTTCTCCTTGGGTTGTCCCTTCATGACCTAGTCATCCCTGGAAAGATAATTATCTTGCCATAGCAGAACTCTGATCATCCAAGAAGCTCCCCTCCTAGTGATAGACAGGCATACTGCATGGAGTGCATGGCCCCGTTCACTGGCGTCCTACCATTTTCTTTGTTGGTTTCAGGATCAGTCATGCCACCGCCAGCGGTTTGAATCAGCAAAGTGCGTTCCTTTCTTGTGTTCAGATGCTCCTTTCCAGAGACATTCCTGCTCATGCGGAAAACACTGTGACCGTTTCTTCTTTTTGGATGGAGAACATGCCAAGCTTTGTGTCCTACATGCTACTTGGGGCCTTCTTGGAGCGACCAGAGTTCTGCGACCCAGACGTCTCACAGAGAGACTTACGAAGACTGGAGGGTTCCGGCTGGTCGAGGCCATGCTTGTGTAATTTTACATATTATCATGAAAGGCACGAAATAGCTCTTCCCAGTCAGGGTCAGAAACACTGGCAACTACCATGTCCAAATGCATTTCTCTTCAGCCCAAACTTGAAAAAACAACTTGGAATCTACAATTATGCCCTTGCTCACTTCCAAAAACCTGGTATACCCGTGTGCATTTGTTTCGCAAATGAAGGTTGGTGTTGTCATTGTCAACAGTTGCCTTTTCTCCTTGAACACTTTCTTCGTCACAGAACGTACCGTTCGCCATTGTTTTGTTGTTGTTGTTGGTAGAAACAAAAACAGCCGCCCAACATCATTGTCATATGTTGTAACTTTGGAACTTCAAGGGGACGAGGTTAGGGATACGGTTGAAGGATTGAGCGAGTGTTGGTTTGGTAAGGAGGTGGACTTGTTGTTGGACTTGTTTCACTGAAGTCTGGGCTGGTCCGTTTTTAGTGTTTTTGAGGTGCTGTTCTGGAGGGGCGGGCCCAAAAAACAACAACGGGGCTGCAGTGTTTGTTTCTAGGATGTGGTAGAGGTTCTAAGCAGAAGTTTGACAGAGGCTTAGCTGACCGGTTACTACCACTACCACTACTACTCCTACTGCTGCTGCTGCTGCTACTCCTCCTGCTACTGCTGTACTGCTACTCCTACTCCTACTACTACTACTACTACTACTACTACTACTACAATTACTACTACTACTACTGCTACTACTACTACTACTGCTACTACTACTACTAGTACTCCTACTACTACTACTACTACTACTACTACTCGTATTACTAGGCTGCTACTACTTCTACTACATACAAGCACTACCACTACTGGTAAAAGTACTTGTTGGCTGTTTTTTTTTTCGGAGGGGGTCAAAAAACAAGGAACAATATATGTTGTAACGGGGCTGCAGTTTTTGTTTGTACCTTGTTGACTTGTTGTTGTTGACTTGTTGTTGTTGTTGGTAGAGACAAAAAACAGCTGCCCAACATAGCTGTCACATGTCGCAAGTCAGGGATTTCAAAGGGACACTGTTAGGGATAGGGTCGAAGGTTTGGAGAGATGTTAGTAGCTGGACTTCTTGTCGTTGTGGTACTCAAGTCTTGGTTGGTCTGGTTCTTGTTTTTTGATGTTTTTTGGTATGTTGTTCTGGAGGGGGGGGGTCAAAACACAACAACGGGGCTGCAGATGTTGTTTCTAGGGGGGGTAGAGACAACAACATCTTCTGAGGGGGGGGTTCAAAAAAACAACAACGGGGCTGCAGTTTTTGTCTCTAGGATGTGCTGGAGGTTCTAAGTAGAAGGTTTACAGAGGCTTAGCTGACCGGACTACCACCACCACTACTACTGCTACTACTGCTACTACCACTACCACTACCACCTACTACTACTACTACTACTACTACTGCTGCTACTACTACTACTACTGCGACCACTACAACAACGACTGCTACTAGTACTAGTACCACTAGTACAAGCACTACCACTACTGGTAAAAGTACATGTTGGCTGGTTGTTTTCGGGGAGGGGGGGGTCAAAATAACAACGACGGGGTTGCAGATTTTGTTTCCACCCCCTTGTAGAGACAAAGGATATCTTGTAACGGGGCTGCAGTTTTTGTTTGTACCTTGTTGTTGTTGTTGTTGTTGTTGGTTGTACAGTTGTTGTTGTTGTTGTTGTTGTCGTTGTTGTTGTGATGATGACTTGACGCTGGCTGGGGAGCTGCGCCGTTGTCTACTCCCACTAGTACTACTGAGGCGGTTTGATCGACCTCGAGGAGTTTGTCCAAGGCGAAGACCGACGGCGACGATGGAAACGCCGAACCGTGTGGCGCAGCGGTGCACAGATGTGTTTTTTGGATTTGTTTTTTTCCGGGAAAACACGAAGAAAAGACACACGCACGCACTGCATGGATATAATAAGGATGGTCATGGTATATACACCATGTTACGTCCCCATAGTATCACATGATTCAATTTGTTCGGCCTTCGGCAAAGCCACATGTTTGGGTCAAAGCGTTCTAAAGGGCCGAAGTTGCTGGAAACGAACAGAATGACAATGAAATATGGTGTTTTTGTCGGGTCCAGGGAATTATGGGATCTTGAATTGCAATACCAATTTGGACACAATCCAATTGAGGAAAACACTTCCGAGGACAATAGCATCCTAAATGTGATGCGGATGAATTGGTGTGTTTTTGTGAGACATGAGGATTATATGTCCATGAGATGAGGTTGTTGGTTGAAAACAGTTTGGTTATGCAATTGGGTCAGAGTTCTGTCGCTTTGTGTTCTATCGTCACCACGGTTATATACAGCAGCAAACATCAACCAATATTTGTGTTCGGTTTCATGACCACAAATGGACTCTTGGAGACTATCACTTGGCTCGATCGAATCATGTTTTGGTTGTGTTGTGTCATTCGTTCCCTGCAATGATTGTTGCTACTCTAAATTCTTGCGCCTTATTCGTCCTGGATCAGGTCGTTGAATGTCTCAGGCCCACGCCAGACAAAAAACCAAGAAAAGACCACCTCGTGACTCAACCGCCAGGTTGTCTGCAACTACACGGACCGGCCAAGAGCTTGCAATTGGCACGCATGAGCTTCGAGAATAAGATCACCCGCAAGGCCCGGTCCGTTAGACCAAGTCGTCAGAACAAGCTGCGGTGACCAGTCTAGTCAGGGTCAGAAAACGAGCCAAGGAGTCAGGTTGTTTGCCCATCCGGGGTCGTCTTCCCAAGGATTCAGTGCAGCCCAAAAAGAAGTAGACTTGAGTTGCTGCCTGGTTCCTTTTGGCTCAACATGGCTCAACTATGAATCTGAAGAAGGCTTCCTACGGGCCAGGTGGGACTTCCGATGGCGATAGAAGATTTGGTTTGGGATGTTGATGTTCAACCATGTTAAAGCCCAAACCGTTTGCAGGTCCTGCTTTGAGTTCCCCTGATGTGCGGACTCCGGTGGTGCATGGGTGGTCTCGCCAGTGTCTCTTCCTAAAGCTATTCCGTCCAAAGGCTGTACTATTCCTTAGTCAAGTAAAGGACACTCCCGAAATCAAGAAGTACTATAGTGCCGGACTTTTACTTGGAGCCCTGTTTGTTTTCCAAAACTAATGTTCCCATGACATAGAATGCTTAGAACCCATGAATGCAAAAAGACACTTAGAAACTTCCCGAAGGATAGTCAGTGACAAGTTTTATCCACTTATATGTCCGGCACTGCTAAGGGAAACACACTTAGAAATCACACTCATCACTTAGAAATCTATTAGTGATTTGTTTAGAACATATATTAACAGACCATGTTTCAGAGAAGACCTCACCCACCCACTATGGGCGAGGAGACAACATTGTTCTCAAGAGTTTTCTCGAACATTTCTGAGTGTATGGCATATGTATGGCATTGTTTCTAAGTCTATGGCATTGTTTCTAAGCCAGGGCCTGCGGAAAGACCATGGGCGGCAGGTTCTAAGTGTAGTAAAGTTGCCATGCAATCTAAAACCAGCTTTGTTTTCCAAACCTTTTTTTTCTAAGTATGTGTCGGTCGCTATATAGTCAGACCATTCTTTTTGTCTTTGACTCCGGTATTGAGAATCAAGTGGCAAACGGCAAGCGCCATTGATGTGAATATAGTTATAGAGTCAAGTTCCATCAGAGTCGTTGGTGGAGCAACGGTCCGGTGGTGAAGTCCAAGACAAGAAGCCTTCCTCTCACCCCTGTAATGAGATCCTGTGAGAAAACTGTATGAGGGTCCCACGAGTTCTCCCCTTGTGTGCGCGGGTCCCACGGCCCAGGCGATGAAATCCATGGCATCCAGCCTTCTGCAGCTGGAGGAGCAGCTCAAGAGGCGCTTCTGAGCAGCTCAAGAGGTGAAAGCAGAATACAACTCCCAACATGCTCTTCCTACTAGTGAACCCTTGAAATGGTCAAATCCTTTCTCACTTGAGCCGTCAGGACTCGCCTGGCTATGCCTGGTCGACCTGGTTCAAGAACTTTTCGGGTGGGTGTGTATTATTCCCGGTTCCTGGGGCGAAAAAACGGGTTCGCATTGGGGAATAGTGTGCATATTTGTTCCAGTTGAGAACAAGCTAAATCCAAGGCAATTTACACATATCAACCAATGAGTTTTGGCCGGCAAGTTGTTCACCACTCCGGGTGAAAACGATGTGATGCAACATTTGTTTATTTTCCCGTTTCTTAGATGAATCGGCAATAGTGTGTTCTTTCCCGAGTTGGACAGCCAAGCACTTCGCTGAAGAGCCTTTGATCAAGCGTTGATCTCCAAAGATTTGGGCGCACGTTACGGCGGACGGGCCACTACCCACTACCCCACCCACCCCTGCAGTGAAGGGAGAGACCAGGTGTGGACCATTATATATATAAAACACTCTAAGATGGAGGATCTGGAAGGGAACTACCCCTGGACCTGCGTAATCCCTCTGCAGGTGGCCTCCGGTGGAGCGAGCGGAGCAAGCGGAACGAGGGCGAAAGCGACACGTGAAGAGCATTTGATGTGCAGCTGGGAGATGCAGCTTGGAGCGGATGATTCTTATTTGTTGCAGTAGGATTCAGGATGTTGTGGCAAAAGCTGGCAAAATCAGTGGTGATTGAAGTTGAATGTGCCTATAGATCCTATAGAAATTATAAGGACATATCATATATCTTAGATATCTTATCATTTCTTATCGCTTTCATGCCGTATAATCCGGTGAGGAGTGGTCATAGTCAGCTGTGATGCTTCCCCAATGCAGTTGATCCATACGTCCCATCACTTGGGGGGGTTGGGGAAGAAACTACGTAGACGTAGAGTTTTATTCAGAGAGGTTTTCAGTACACTTTCACCATCACCTTGAGGGAAATGGAACAAACTGTGCATAAGTGCAGAAGGAGTTTGAATCTGTCGCAAGAGGGGCAAGACATGGCCGTTGGAAATCTCGGTCAAGAGGGATGGCTTTTTGTATGCTTTTTGTATATCATATAGTATAGTAATATGTTATGTTATCGCATTCTGTGTAATTTTTTGAAGGGCCTTGAAGTGGACGGTCGTTTTGGCTCGCGCTCTGAAGGAGGGTGGCTTGGGTATACGAAAAAAAGCGTCTCACCTAGAACAAGGTCGACTCTTGGTGGGCACTCTAACAGCACCCACTTGATGAAAACACACATATCTCAGTGGTCGAACTACAAATCAGAAACACATCAAAAAGACAGAGGACATCCCGGTTTCAGTGAGAATTTCACAGGTGCTTTCATCCGGTGTTCAAGCCCTGTCCCAATTCGGTTGGTCCAGTCCACCTGCGACCCGCGGCCGTGACCGCCGATCACCGAGGCCCGTGGCGGTCCTGGCGCTCCACCGACCCGCTGAGCGCGGCGCAGTTCCACTCGTTGGCTCGGTCCATCCCGGTCGAGTGCGCGGTGCGCCTTTGTGGTGAAGCTGTATGGAAACACCCACAAAACACGCAAAATGCAGGATCTATTCACATCCAAACATGTGCAACAAAATCATAAATGCCCTTGATGCCTTTGGAGTGCCAGGGCTTTGGGATGCTTTAAGATTATTGTCGAAGCTGTGGTAGACTGGCATGTGAGAAACCAGTTCGTCGTCAGACAGGAAGCGCGACAGTTTTCGCTTTGACCAACATGGGAAACTGAGTTATGAAGCTACAAGGAGGTCCCAAAGAAACATCGCGCTGCCAATGTTCACACAATCAAGTGCTGCGTGAGTGTCTTCAGCCTGAACTGCCTGGTCAATGTGGCAAGAAGTCGCAAGCAGACCTGGATGGGCCGGCTGTAGCTGGACACCAAAGGTGTGCCAGTTGAGCCAACGGTTTGGCCAAAGATTGGACAATTATCCGAAAGCAGGGTAGGCATGGTGGCAGTTTGTGTCCAGTTATTTTATTATTAGTTCAGATGGATCCGATTCTTATACATAATTATTCACGAAAATTTTGATTACATTTGGCTTAAGACGGCATAAAAGCAGAGGGGTCAACGATGGTCAGCGTATTACGTTGTCCATGAACGATTCAGTTATATTTGATTTTTTCCCGGTGAATGGAGCTACCCTTGTGCTCGGATGCCAATGAATGGCGGTAGAGAGGTCTCGACTGATTCCTGGACGCCGGAGGTGAAAATATATACTAACATATTCATGGTTTCACTCAAAATATATACATTATGCTTCATGGCATACAGTCATGGTTCATGGCTTACAGTTCTTGGAAATAGTGAATTCGTAAAATCGATCCAACTTGGGAGAAGAAAGACAGTCCTGCCGTGCTCCCTGAGTGCTCGGCAAAGGATCCGGACGGGGGTTTATGTCAGTCTTCCGAGTTCATCAATTGAGTTCCCTTTTTGTTCATTTTCCCACGTCTTTTGCTCATTTGACTCATTTACCTTTTTCATCAATCTCCACAGCCTTGTCATCCAGCACTTTTGACCATCCCACTCTTTGCCAGCAAAACATCGCAGCCGCCGAACCCTCCCTCCTCTCCTTTGCAGCCACTCTGGGCTCAAAACCGGTGACAGTTGCTCGTCCGAGTACGCCAGCGCTGGGTCCAATGCCATGGCGCATTTCGCCATTCTTCTAAGTTTGGCCGTGTGTGCCACAGATGCACTCGACCTGCCGGATCTACCAGGATTCCTGGAGAATCTGGGAGACGCGATTGTAGAGAGTGCAAAGGATGTATATAGTGGCAAGTTCACGTGGAATTACACGTGGCACGACAGCACAGTGCAGGCCCCATCCCAGTTCCTGCCGCTTGTGGATCAGATTAGAGAGATGCCAGAGGCAACTCGAGATGAAAGAAACCATTGGTTCGGTTCTTGTTTTCTTGTTTGTTTCGTTGTCGTTGCTTTTTGTGGAACCATAATCGTGACTCTTGCGCCCATGGTGAAGGGACACGCACCACAATCTTACATCCGGGTCGGCAGTATCCAGAGAGGGGAAGCGGCCTCCGAGCCCGAAGTCATCTCTGAGCCCTCCCAGTCGTTGAGCAAGTTGTGTCAGACAGTGCTGGTCGTTCTGAGCTTCGGAGGCACCTTCCTGGCAAGTCTCACTGCGTGCGTTTGGAGCCTCCAGACGGGCCGACTGTCCAAAACCGTTGGACTCGATTGGGAGGTTTACCTCCTGCTGTTTGCTCTTGTTTCTTTCTGGTTGCTGGTTCAAGCAGTTTTTGCTGTTAGAATGTTAAAGCCCGGAGAGAAATTCAAGCTTTCAACATTTGTGGTGGCGTGTCTAACATCGTTGACACCATTTGTGTCTGACTATTTTGACACTTTGAAAGATGCCATTTTCGGAGCACTGTGTGTCCAATCGCAACACCTGGGAATTCAGATACTCGGTTGGCTTTGTTGGGTATACCTCCTGGCCATTCACATATTTTTTGTGCGCCGACCGACATGCTTTGCCGAATTGTCTTCCACATATTTGTCGGTTCTATTGGCCTCTCCGGCTTCCCAGGAGGAATCTGGAGGAGGAGGTTGTTTGCAAGAGCTACTCTTGCTTCTATACAAACAGTTGACCAGCACCAAGCGGGAAATGCTGTTGATTGAAAATGTGCCTCAGGCCGTTTTCTCCATAGCATTCCTGTACTTTGAAGGTGGGTCAACCTTTGTCACAATTGTGAGTCTAGGCGTGCCAATTGTGCAGATCGTCCTCACGCTTCTGCTCACCAATCCCGTGCGACGATGCGTGGCTACTGCACTTGGCAAGAAGATCAACGAAGCTTTGATACGCGGGAACTATGTCATGTCTTGGCAGATATGGTGTGAGGCAGGGTGCTGTTGCGTAAAACGAACGAGTGTCGAAAGTCAAAAGTCAGTGATGTCCTTTGCTATCCGAGGGTTTTGAAACACAAAGGCTATCCTTGGAATCGGGCAAAACAGGCAGTTCAACTGGGGAAGTTTCAACAAACTCGAAGTTGTGCTTGAAGCCCTCAAGTCTTCCTGGCGGCAATGTTTTTTCATCAGTCTGAGAATTCGTTGCACAGTCTTTTTGAAACAGAAGGTCGAAGGTTCTACCGGAAGCTGGATTTGTGCACTTCAGGTGTTTCAACGAATTATAGTCGAGGACAAGGATTAGGCAGAAAAATATCTGCCAAGAACTCTTAAAATATGTATTTTTTGAGACCATGTGGGACGGACGGAAAAAAGCTGATGGGCAGCTCAATCAATTATATACCTTAGACCTTTTTGGGCTTGAGTGTCAATGAATGTAAGATTCAAGAAGCTTTTTGGACAACCCACAACTCTAGAGAGGGGGAGGGAGGGAGGGAGGGAGGGAGGGAGAGAGAGAGAGAGAGAGTGTTAGAGAGAGACAAAGGACGAAAAAGCAAAGGCAAAACAAAACAGCAATATATAGTCGTGACTATATATACTCAATACACTCTGTATAATGAGGCGCCCCCTGAGCCCCCCAGTAAGCAGATTGGATGGGCACTTCAGAGCGACCCCCACTATGCATATTTGTAGTGAATGCACACTATCAGAACCAAACATGTGTACACCTGTACACCCCATCTGCTTAATTTCGACTGGTAGTTTTTTCTGTTTAATGGTTGTCTTGGACGGGCGTTTCTGTCACCGGCCATGGGGCCTTCAGGAAAGCCACTGCTTTCCGCAGCATCATGTTTTCCGGAAAGCCGCTGCTTTTGGCACACTGTTTTCACCGTGTTCATCACGTCGAGTTCCTGTGCCTTGTTTTTGCTCACGTGTTAGCAACATCCGCTGTCGCAAAGAACTGGGTTCAGCCAAACACCCAGGATCTCCCTATGGCTCCTAGCCTCCGGCAAGGGCTCCCCAGCTGGAACAGAACCTCAACGTAACGAAAGTCACTCAACCTACAAGCCACTGTTGAATCTCCAAAGTCCCCTTTCAAGTGGCTACCAGTGTTCAGCTTCGGCTCCTCCGAATTCAGGGTATTTCTGCGAGTAGGTGCACGAAGGCCGAAGGCGGTCGGTTTGAAGTTAGACCCGCTAACGTTCCCAAGCGCCAGACCTGGTTTTTGCCAGGCTGGGTAGACTCTAGTAAACGGCCTGTGGCCAGTTTGACAATTCGAGGTTCCTCGAAGCTGGGGCTTCTGTCCTGCCATCGACATTCAACAACCCAAAAAGCCTAAGCTCTGCCCTCACCTCAGCTGGCAACGTATGCATAGCAATGAATAAACAGAATCTCCGCCCCTCGTATTCAGATGTATTCAGAACAATCTGGCTGGCGTTTTGACTTACGGGAGTGCCAACCACATGTCTGTGTGAATTCACCCCTGCCCGTCCAACCATCTCGGCCGGGAAACCCCAGTGACAATCAGCTAGACTGATGAGCTTGTGGAAGAGGCTCTGGGAGCAGCCCTGCACTCAGCTTAAGCTCCCCGATTCAAACAGATTGACAGCTGCAGCTCGCTCTTTGTTCATGTCAATGTGAATCTCGCAGCCATCCCAGGAACCATCATAGGAAATAGGGACCTCCGATCCCTTCAACCACGACTGCATTGTAGGACCCATCAACCAATAAGGCCACAAGAAGGTGGGCCTGGGGCCAACGCTCCCACATGCCTTGGACAGGAAGTAGCGTACATAGAGGAAGGCCTGTGCAAACAGGGATTCGACCCACAACGGACTTGGCAAGAAATCATAGCTGCCAAGTTGGGGATTCATAGCCTTTGGCTCAGGGTTCGTTTGCCTTGGGGCCTTGACCACATTAAAGTACGGTACAACGACGTGTTCCTCGGGGTGTTCGTCTCCGCATAGCTTTTCGAAGTGGTGTCCGAGCGTTTCAACTTGATGTCTAAAAAAAACTAAATCCGTGATCATGATGTGGCTGAAAAAATGGCACTCAAAACCACTGGACAAAAGGAAAGCATGGAAATACGATGAAATACCTCGCCACATCCCAGAAGTGTTTGGGGGGACGCTATACCAAAACGCTGCTCTTCCCGTGAGCAGCAAGGTTGATGAGTTGTTTTTCTCTGAAAGGATGGTGTTCAAGTATAGTAACCACATCTTAGGCTGGGTTGAAAAAGCAAATGCTTCAGTTGACAGAACAACCGAAAGGTCAGCCACCCAATAAGTGCGTTGCGGAACTCAAGCATCCTTAAATGCCATCGAGCTCAACGCGGAAATTACACTAGACGCAAGAGGTTCAGCGTGGAAAGATGCTGCCAGTTTCTGTCGGAACACATTAATCCGGTACTGAAATGGATGTTAATATCACTACATTGGGGATCACTCTAAACTCCTTTGTTTACCCTCAGGTCATGTGTTTTGCTTTGCCAGTAACACCTACAGTAGCGAGCTTATAGCAATGACAACATCGTTCACCTTGGGGTCCAACAAGACTTCGTGACTTGGTCGGGTGGGACAAGCAGGTGGTCAAAGTGGACATCAAATAAACAGTCCACGGTCTGACACACAATCAACTCTGGATGTCTTACGCCTGGCACAGGATTCCCACCAGAGTGTTGTTTTGCCAAATGGATTTACATGGTGTTGTGAGCCATTTGCAAGTTATCTCTCTCTACTATATATATATATACACATGCTAGAAGATTAGCATGGCAATAAGCAGGTATTGGCTTTGAAGTGGATGTCATTGTTTGGCTAAACAAGAAGACAAGTCTTCCCTCTATAAGGCCGAGTTCGAAGAGAACTTGGATCTCCTCCGGGAAGCATTGGAGGAGATGGGCATCGTGCGTGACCTTCTTGAGATTGAGGCGATGCGGGGGTTGAGTGATTGCTCTGCAAACACAGACAGCACAGACCACCCACATCAAAACAGTTCCAACCCAGGTGACTTGTGTTCCAGAGATAACTACACTTTGCTAAGTGTGAACAATCAGGGAAGAGAGGGCTAGTTTTTGCTTTGTCGTGGTCGTGGTGGAAGCTTTTCTAGCTTCAATGTAACAGATGCATGGACCTATTTGCCTGTATTTGTTCCATTGCTTGTGACAATTGTGCTGGTGTTTATCTGTAGTCGCTTTCAAACCCACAGCCTATGCATTATCTCTTGATTGGTTGCAGTTTGACTACCTGATGTTTGTGACCTGGATTGTTTGAGTTCAAGCCTGACCTTGGCAAGTCGAGTGCAGCTTAGCCATGTGTTGTGATCTAAACTTTCCAGATTCGGGAAAAACAGCCTACTTCCATCGAAACTGAAATGTCTATGAAATCTCAGGAAATTCACAGAGCTTTTGTTCTTGTGGTACTATTCTTTTCAGCAGCACAACCCACTGTTTTAATAGGTTGTTAAAGCTTTGACACCAGCGCTTGTGCGAGGTTGGTGCATGCTCACTCACTGTCCCACAGTTTCCATTTCTGACCACGGTGACAACCAAGTTGAGGATGCCAAGATGCTGGACAACGAGTCGATGAAACAGAAGCTTCCTTGGATCAGGGCTATCGCCAACCAGTCCACAGAGGTTTCTGAGCGGTATTATAGCTAACTTTGGCCAACATGAAGAATGTGAACTTGTCCAAGAACTCTCTTTGCATATCCTTGTTTGGTTTCAATGGGACAACAATATGATGTTTGGAATCTCATATACGTAGTTCACCGTAAGTTGTATTGATGCATTTTGGCAAGATCGTCGATCAACCGAGCGCTGGCCATCCACAGCGATCAGGACATCAAGCCTGTGCTAGAAGAATGTTCCGGGGCCTTCAGCTTGGACCAACACCGTGGCGCTTTGTTTGAATGTGTTTGTTCAAAGCGTACTGTTATTCACGGGGAGAACTGTTTGCATGATGTGCTCGATAATTGTTTACTGATTTGTTTAAACTCCTAAACGTGAAACCTTTGTGAAGCCAGTGTGAAGCCTTTGTGTCGTTCTTGCTCAGGATGACCTTGGTTGAGTTGTTTCTTGTTATTTGTCAGAGTTGGTATTGCTTTCACCGCATTGAAACAAGTGATCGTTCTAGGCCTTAAGAAACTTGTCCCTCATATGTGTGGATGTGCCAGGCTTTAGGGTGACAACTACAAAGGCTTTCTCAAAGGAATTGATGCTGGTCACTCATACACTGAGTTTCTGCATGTTTGTCAATGAGGCAGCGATGTCAAGGAGCTGCAAACAAAGAAGGCTGGTTACGACTAATGTCCGGCCATAATATGTAGCAACGGTGTTGAGGGTTGCCGCCAATATGACAATGTCATATACTCACTAAGCTTACACTTTGCAATTTTGATGGTATGCCGCATGCCTCTACAGGTATGGGGCTGGTGATCTGGGCTTGAGTTCTTCCAAGCCCTGAACGAGCTCGGTCAGTCTAGATGAATGGGACGTGTCGATGAACCTTGAATGGGAAATGTTGGAAGATATGCATAGTCACGGACCAATCAAGGCAGACAAGGGGAGAAGACATCAAAGATGATTTCTGGGTCAGTCGCCATCGCCCAAGCCAGACTGAATGGCACCTATCATAGCAAACCTAAACCCCATGGAAGAGTGGGACCCACAGTAGTTGTTCAGATTTGAAGCCGCCTGGACTCGAAGCTAAGATGTGCATATCCAAGACGAGCCCTCCAACATATCTTGAGGGGATACATTGACATGCTCCATCACAGGTCCTGACATTGCCCTTCTCTTTGGAATTCCTAAATCTTGGGCAGGAATCGGAACTTAATTTGGGAGTGATGCAGATTGGCGATGCTTTGGCGCAGGCCTGGAATGTCATTCAAACATCTCTCATGCGTTTCCTTGGCTTTGATGTTGATCGTACACTGCAAAGACTTTGCAGCACTCACCACCATACCTCTATTTTGCAATGCACATGTCTCAGATTTTATCAGTATCAGTTTTACGGAGTTCTTCACTTCTAGCTTCTATCATTGAGTGAGCCGTTTAGATGCCCACTGTGTTTCGGATAACTTCCAACAGAAGTCAGTGAAGGAGCGTGGAACATCGGCCGCCCTTCCAGCCCTTCCTTAGTTAGTTCACAATTGAAGCCAGTGTGCGTTCTTCAACATGTGGTTGAGTTATATATACACGAGTTTCAGCTCATCTCAGTGTGTCAGAGTTGTGAGTAGTGTTTGTTATTTCACCATCACCACCTAAAGACCCTTCCGTCGAAGCCAGATTGAACCTTCCCACTTCTTGCGTGTGTTTTCTTTTGTTTTCTTTGTTCCAAGGTCTCCAGAACTCCTCCCCCCCCAAGTCCTCCTCCGAGCCTCGCAGGCACTGGCCGAAGCGCTCAAGGTGAACAACACTGTTGAAAGGATTAATCTCGAACAGAACAACATCGGTCCCGCGGGCGCAGAGGTGCCCTGCTGGGGGCCGGAGCGGGCAGATCTCCGTGGGTGGCATCAGAGTGTGTAGACAGGGCCCCCCCTAGTCATGGGGGGAGTGGAGAAGTTTCAGGTGAAGTCCGAAGTGTGGAGATTTGAAGCGAAGCAGGAAGGTGTGGAACCAGATACCAACAGTGATGTTTGAGGCTTGTGGGTGCTGGTCAGACCAGCAAAGATAGGTCCAGAGCAGACTCATGAGAAGCGGAAATGCTGTGTCGTGCTGTGTCATTTCTTCACTACACTTCCCTTCGTTGAGTGAACCATTCAGATGTCCACCAACAGAACACTAGTTTGTTCCTCAGCACCAATTTTACGGAGTTCTTTACTTCTAGTTTCTATCATTGAGTGAGCCGTTTAGATGCCCACTGTGTTTTGGATAACTTCCAACAGAAGTCAGTGAAGGAGCGAGGAACATCGGCCGCCCTTCCGGCCCTTCCTTAGTTAGTTCACAATTGAAGCCAGTGTGCATTCTTCAACATGTGGTTGAGTTATATATACACGAGTTTGAGCTCATCTCAGTGTGTCAGAGTTGTGAGTAGTGTTTGTTATTTCACCATTACCACCTAAAGACCCTTCCGTCGAAGCCAGATTGAACCTTCCCACTTCTTGCGTGTGTTTTCTTATGTTTTCTTTGTTCCAAGGCCTCCAGAACTTCTCCCCCAGTCCTCCTCCGAGCCTCGCAGGCACTGGCCGAAGCGCTCAAGGTGAACAACAGTGTTCGAAAGATTTATCTCCGGAGCAACAACATCGGTCCCGCGGGCGCAGAGGTGCCCAGCTGGGGCCGGAGCGGGCGGATCTCCGTGGGCGGCAGCAGAGTGTGTAGACAGGGCCGCCCCTAGTCATGGGGGGGAGTGGAGAAGTTTCAGGTGAAGTCCGAAGTGTGGAGATTTGAAGCGAAGCAGGAAGGTGTGGAACCAGATGCCAACAGTGATGTTTGAGGCTTGTGGGTGCTGGTCAGACCAGCAAAGATAGGTCCAGAGCAGACTCATGAGAAGCGGAAATGCTGTGTCGTGCTGTGTCATTTCTTCACTACACTTTCCTTCATTGAGTGAACCATTCAGATGTCCACCAACAGAACACTAGCTTGTTCCTCAGCACCAATTTTACGGAGTTCTTCACTTCTAGTTTCTATCATTGAGTGAGCCGTTTAGATGCCCACTGTGTTTCGGATAACTTCCAACAGAAGTCAGTGAAGGAGCGTGGAACATCGGCCGCCCTTCCGGCCCTTCCTTAGTTAGTTCACAATTGAAGCCAGTGTGCGTTCTTCAACATGTGGTTGAGTTGTATATACACGAGTTTCAGCTCATCTCAGTGTGTCAGAGTTGTGAGTAGTGTTTGTTATTTCACCATTACCACCTAAAGACCCTTCCGTCGAAGCCAGATTGAACCTTCCCACTTCTTGCGCGTGTTTTCTTATGTTTTCTTTGTTCCAAGGCCTCCAGAACTTCTCCCCCAGTCCTCCTCCGAGCCTCGCAGGCACTGGCCGAAGCGCTCAAGGTGAACAACACTGTTAATGTGATTAATCTCGAACAGAACAACATCGGTCCCGCGGGCGCAGAGGTGCCCTGCTGGGGGCCGGAGCGGGCGGATCTCCGTGGGTGGCATCAGAGTGTGTAGACAGGGCCGCCCCTAGTCATGGGGGTTGTGGAGAAGTTTCAGGTGAAGTCCGAAGTGTGGAGATTTGAAGCGAAGCAGGAAGGTGTGGAACCAGATACCAACAGTGATGTTTGAGGCTTGTGGGTGCTGGTCAGACCAGCAAAGATAGGTCCAGAGCAGACTCATGAGAAGCGGAAATGCTGTGTCGTGCTGTGTCATTTCTTCATTACACTTTCCTTCATTGAGTGAACCATTCAGATGTCCACCAACAGAACACTAGCTTGTTCCTCAGCACCAATTTTACGGAGTTCTTCACTTCTAGTTTCTATCATTGAGTGAGCCGTTTAGATGCCCACTGTGTTTTGGATAACTTCCAACAGAAGTCAGTGAAGGAGCGTGGAACATCGGCCGCCCTTCCGGCCCTTCCTTAGTTAGTTCACAATTGAAGCCAGTGTGCATTCTTCAGCATGTGGTTGAGTTATATATACACGAGTTTCAGCTCATCTCAGTGTGTCAGAGTTGTGAGTAGTGTTTGTTATTTCACCATTACCACCTAAAGACCCTTCCGTCGAAGCCAGATTGAACCTTCCCACTTCTTGCGCGTGTTTTCTTATGTTTTCTTTGTTCCAAGGCCTCCAGAACTTCTCCCCCAGTCCTCCTCCGAGCCTCGCAGGCACTGGCCGAAGCGCTCAAGGTGAACAACACTGTTAATGCGATTTATCTCCGGAGCAACAACATCGGTCCCGCGGGCGCAGAGGTGCCCAGCTGGGGCCGGAGCGGGCGGATCTCCGTGGGTGGCATCAGAGTGTGTAGACAGGGCTGCCCCTAGTCATGGGTGGAGTGGACAAGTTTCAGGTGAAGTCCGAAGTGTGGAGAGTTGAAGCGAAGCAGGAAGGTGTTGAATGGATTTGTGATTGTTTATACTAAATAGACAGAATCTGATACAGTGTCAATAATGACGGTATTCACAATGGCATGTATCGTAGGCTTTTGGTTGTTTGTGAAATTGAAAGTGAAGAGTGGATTTGGATCAATGGCTGTGGTGGTCAAAAATGCCAATTGATGCTTCATTCATTCTTGTTTCAGTTTCTGGACTGTTGAGTGTTGAGAATCGACTGACAACATCAGCTGACCAAACACTGGAGTCCTTTCCTTGACAGTTTTTGTGAAGAAGGGGTCAGTTTTGCCAGGTTGCTCATCGAAATTCAAACAAGTCTTTTGCTGACTCATGATAATGGTGATAGACTCTAGACTCTAGACTGCCATTTGTGCGGTTTCTCAACTTGTTTGCTGTCAACGTGTTTGTTTACAATTTTCCTGAAATGAAGTCCGAACGATGTGGATGTAAAGGGCAGCAGAAAGATCTATATATAACTAAAACCAGTACAACAATCAGTTTGTTATAGTTTGTGCTCTTACAGCGTGTGTGTTTGTGAGCTTTTGTTTTTGAGCATTCCTTGTCTAAATTGTGTGCTGGATGAGTATACAGATGCACACTCTGCAATTCATGCGAAGCTTGGAGTTCTGAGTGTCTAGTCTTTCCTCAAAGGATTACATGTCAAAAGTTTTCACAAAAGCCTTTCAACACTGCGACAACTGGTCGACCACTGGAGTGCTGTCAACAGAAGCAGACATAGTTGTTTGCCCTGCGTCCAAGCCCAACCAGGCGCTAAGGCTAAGAGAAGTGGCAAGGATGAAGAGAGAACGTGGAGAGACGTTCGATTTGCACTTGCTGCTCGGCGACCTGTGGAGTTGTTGTTCGAAAAAACAAATCATTGGATCCTAGGAGTTTTTCCCCAACAGGACTACCTGTCTACCTGTGAGGGTTTCCTTTGAAAGAGTGTTTTTGCTGGTCCTATAGTGATCTACGAGTCTATGCTGCAATTTGTTTTTTTTGGCGCCACCATAACGCTTTGGACCTGTGTTTTGGTCATTCTGTCCATTGTTCCTTTGGGAGAGTCTCATGGTGAGGCTGCGTTGAGACACTTTCAGCAACGGTGCAAGTCGTTTGTTTGTAACTCCGACTGCTTGTTGTCAGAAAAGATCAGAAAAGCAAATAACATGCTGCGACGTAGCCAGCAGCTTCACTTGTTGTGCTTCGCTGAATCTGTTTGAATTCCCATTTGGCCCTGAACAGGCTTGGGTTTCCTTCAGTTGTGGCATGTAAAAGTGCATTGACAACCTGTACACAGTTCTTTCATGTTCTCTCTACACGGTCCAGAGTGGATTGCTAATGCCCCTTCTCTATCCAGATGAAATGCAGTCAATGTCCTCCAGATGGTTTCAAAACTTGACAATACGCACGCATGTTTGGTGCATGTGAGATTGGTGTTTCTTTTGGGTATTCCAGCCATTCTTGAGTCTTTTTCACAATTTTCAGGTGACATCAAGACTTGCTTTGCGGTGGCATGGGTGTCCGGATAGTGCCAGACGGCGGGAGCAGACGTGCCGCTGGCATCAAGGCCCCCCTTCACGTGCAACTTCAGTTTGGGCAAACTCACAATCCTTCCTTTGCCAGTTCCTTATGATTTTCTTTTAACCTGCTTCCAGGGGATGATTGGGGCGCCTCGGTCATTCTTACATGGACCACGGAAGATAGTCCCGCCTTAGTTCTGGTCGAAATATATTGGTTGAGTTAAAGGATCGTACTCGATGGTGTTTCAAGAACCAAAATTCTGATTTTGACCCCAAGAGATTGACCAGTTGAGGAACATGGAAACTGATGCAGCAGCAGAGTCTGCAACAGCTAGTCACAGCCAAACAAATAGTAATCATATGGAATCATATATCCATGCGTGTTGCTGTTGACATGCCGTCGTGCCGGTAATACTCAGTGCACCCATTTGGAACCGTGGCTGCCAGTTCATGAGTTGTGTTTTTTTTGGTTGTTGTGTTGTGTCTTTTTGTTTGTTCAATTATGGTAGTTTGACAGAGTGTTGTTTAAAGAGACTGCAACCCTCGAAACAGCAACCATTGAACCCGCTTGACCGAGGCCAGCGTGAGGAAGATCAGAAATGATTTTGTAAGAACTGGACGACTTTAGCTGCCCACGGTTGATCTCAGAGGTCACAGGAAACCATCAAACTTACACACAATTCAAACACCTGCATCGTGTTAGCTTGAAGAGTCGGAATTCCATGCCATGATTCAACAAATTCATCATGAGTAGTTGGAGAAATTGACACCAACTCAGGCAGTTGTGGCATGGCATGGAATTGATACCAGTTATCATCATGAATTGGTTGATCACAAATACGTCATACTCAGATGCTTAGCTGGTTTCTTTGATCAACCCAAAGGGCAAACTCGGACGGTTGGGGCCAAAGAGCCACGTCCGGAACCACCCACGTCTGCGTTTGAGCGAGCCACGGTCTGAGGCAGAAGGGGAACCATGCATCTGACCGCGTCGAGAGGGGTAGAACCATGCGTCGAACGAGTTTGCAGATGTTTTTTTCTGTGAATATGTGTCACATAGTATACCAAGCTCTGAGGAACCTGTGCAACCTGGAGCTGTGAGGTTGGGAGGGGCACAGTATGGTCCAATTGGTAAACTGATGCCTTCTCTTTTTTAAACCCAAAGCTTTTGTTCCTTAGCCGGTTGCTGATAGCCCATGATATCCCAGGATCACACCGCTTACTTACACATGTTTTTGTTTGGCGATTGTGTTCTCGAAGCTTCTGTTGTGGACCTTGTGGAAGGATGCAGTTTCCGACATAAACAAGTAAGAGCTATTGGACGTTTCACGAGGTTTTGTCAACAAGACAGACGTGTGAAATGTGCGGTTTTCCGTTTAGATTGTTTGGACAAGCTATGTACATTGTGAAGCATTCGATCCAGGTTCGATCACCGGCCTTTTTAGCACAATTCCTTCTGAGAACTCACATACTTTTAGGTTGGGGGTAACCTGGATCGCAGAGTGTGGACGTCGAAAAGCACTGATGACGCTAATATGTTGCTATAATAACAAAAGTGATGGTTCTCAGTGCTCTCAGCTCAGGCACAAGCATGAAGCCTGAACTTGATCTCGGAAGAACGTTCACGGGGCCACAGAGGGGATTCACTAATGCCATAATTGGCCATAATAGTGATAATGGTTCAATGTTATTCAATCAGATTCAAGACTGCTATAATAGCTAGTCAAGGAAACACAACATATGCTAAAGAGCTTTGGATCTCTTTGATCAAGTCACAGAAGGCAGGGCATGGCAGGGCTATATAATGGCCCGAAGAGCCAAGCAGCCCAGTTCTTGGAGAAGCGTGCAGCGTGCTCTAGCAGCTAGCGAGAAATCCGACGGGCTGCCTTCGATCGGTGTTGTTGTTCCTCGGTGATGCGATCGCGGCGCCGATTGGTTGAGTCGATTGGATGAAGCATGGCGCGCAGGAAACCGTGCAAGGCTCAAGGAGAACCACATTCTGACTCAATGCGGAGAAGTACCGGGATTGCGGTAAATAAAACAGCACACTGTGAAGTTACAGAGCTAGCTGCAAAGGGCTTTGATAGACGATTATATTATATACTTTGTTCGACACATCCAATGACAATTGCCGCTTTGCCCTGCCCAATCCGCTTGGGGATATTAACATTCAAATGAAGAACGTATTCTTTATGATGCAACCAGGCTTGGACAGAATGCTCAAACCCGCCAACAGGTGTAATCCTTCTTTGAATTGCTTTGGTTATGTATGGCACGTTCTTTCACATGTGGCACGCGCCTGATCGTTGCATCCAGCTTGCTGGCGACGTGGAGTGTTCCGAGTGACTCGGCGTGGAGTGTTCCAAGGTGCTCGCACGACATGCTCATGACTTAAGTGAATTTGGATCATCGTTTGACCTCGGGCGTTTGAATGGCTTTAAGATGCTTTAAGACTTTATATGTCTTCTTTTCCAAATCAAGTGCATTATATATTACGATTCCTGTGGATAATTTGTGCTTGACCACGGTCGACCGCGTTCCTTTTGACCAAACTCCCGTGGTAAAGCACGTGGCTTCATTGAGCTGCTTGAGGTGCCAATGTGCCGGTGGAGATTGACTCGAAACGCCACTTGGCTCATTCTCAACGGCCTGTTCAGTTTTCAGCTGCAGTTAGAGTTGCAGTTAGGCCAACAAATTTGAGAATGGAGGAGTTTGTGCTTTGCAACCTCCATTGTTTTCATTGTTTTTTCAAACCAAGTTGGTCCAATCTGAGATCAAATGTTGCAGGCGGTACTCGTACAACCTGAGGCCGAATAAACTTGCAGCTCACACTTCCACTTCTTCTCGCAAACCACCTGGGTCCACAGGTTTAGTCAGCAACAGTTCCGTTGAACAGGTTTCCTTGGATGAATTTTTCATTTTGTTTCTCCAGCACTCAGACAGAAAAGCTGGTTGGAGTTACTCGTAGATATCAGAATGCGAAGAGGTTGAAGTAACAGCCACAGGGTGACCAGCTTGAAATGGCAATCCTTTTGTATGGAGCACTTGCATCAAGTTGTTTCTGGCAATGGCCTGTGTACGGTCAGGTCCCTTAGTCTAGGGAGTGCCATGGTTCGAATCGCCAAGCCAGGGTGTTTACGTGCATGTAAATCATGACAGCCAGGCTGTGCCGCACATGAGATGAGCCATATGAGCTTTGGCTTTGGCAGTACCACACCGGACTCGGAATCAGATCGACCATCCCCAGCTGAGGAAACAATGCCTTCAAACTCTTGAAAAAGTTGGGCACTCGCCAGGGCCGACGCCACTCGGCCTGCCTCGGCCAGTGCAAGCTGGTGTGGGTGGTGAGGTCTGGTGAAACGATGTGGAACGATACATTTGGTCGGCAGCATGAGGTAAGCTTGGCGGGTCATTCTTGAACTTCGAAGTTCTTTGGGTCATTCTGTGGGTCATTCTGGTTCTGAGTTCTGAGTTCTTCATATTTGATGCAACGCACAGTGCATATCCATGTCAGACTGGCTTCTGCTTCTGACCTTCTGAGTTCGCCTCGCGTCATCCGGACGCCTCGCCGCACATCCTCGGCCGGACACCGCCGTCGCCGAGGCAAGTTGGGCCGCTTCGTGGCGGAGGGCGAGACCTTTCTGCGGCTCAGACCTCGAACCGTCTTCGTGCGGAGGAGCCGATGGCAGGAGGCCGGTGGATGGGCGGGTGATGGGCGGATGACGTGGCTTTTGAGGGGGAGAAGGTGTGTTTTTTCTGCTTGATTATGATAGGTGGTACTTAATTGAGGCATTTTGCTTCAAGATCATGGCAGAATCCATTTGAGAGCTTCGGTCTGCGTGAGTGATTTGAAAGCTATTGAAACCTATAAACCCATGAATTTGACCTGTAATTAGTAATTGGATAATAGATTTAAGCTGTATTTATCAGACAAAAATGACTTTCTTTTCGAAGGGTGCCAGGTTCGATCTCAGATCCTCCGGACTTTCGGCCATCCGTACCGACTCGTAAGGATTAGGCCGCGCTGAATTCAACGGATTAGAAGGTCTTGACCCACAAGGCTAATTTGTGGTCCATGTTTGTGGTGTCAAAATGTTTGGTTTGACCCATCGATTCATCATTTGACACGTTTCCTTTGCACTTCCAGTGGCCGCTGCCAGGGTTCCCAGTTCTTGGCGCCGAGCGTGTTGGGGAGCCGCGAGGCACCTGCGGAAGCTGCTGCCACGAGGTGGGTTCAGGGTCACCAGAGGTTTTGGGTGGGTTTCAGTTTGTTTTGGACGTGTTTTCATGTAAAGCGAGTTCGAAAAATCCGTCAAAGATATACATATTATTATATACTTGTTACAGTACTTGTTACAAGGGTTAAAATGGTTATACGGTATACGGTTATATACTGTAATTGTATGATTGATGTTAAATGCAGTTGAGATAATGTTTGTTGGTTTTGTAGTTCTGGAGTCTTGGGTCCTAAACTTCCTTGTGAATTGATGGCAATCTGGAATATGATTATTGTTCTTTGCATGAGCTGCAGAGGCTTATGGTAAGGTTGATATGTTAACTGTTAATCGCTGTCATTGGCACTATCTCAACGTTTGTTATGTCCAGCATTTCTGCAGAGCCAATTGAGCCAATCCAGCGTGCCGTCACAACCACAACATCCGACAATCATACGATCCATTTAGGGTCTAGATGAACTGTGTACACTTTGTTGACCCACGTCGATCAGATGAGTTTAGATACACCCGGCTGTCCAACCCCTATATACTCGAACACAGACCATTCTACTGCCTGAATCCTTGTAGGTTGTCAGACCACTTCTCAATACCTAGAACATCCTAGAACCTAATATCATTATATAATTTCACCTTTGTTTTGATGGTTTGTGTATTTTTTCAACATGTCAGGTGTCAGGTTCTATAGGTTTTTCAAAGCTCTTCCAACACGTCATCCAAACAGGCCACTCACCTGGGGCGGCGGCCTCCCCATGGACCCCGGCAGCGCGATGGCGGACGACACCGCCAGCGTGGCGGTCCTGCGGAACGAGCTCTTCGATGAGATCTCCACGCAGGAGACGCCGGCGGCAGCGGTTTAGATGCGGATTTTTTGCAGCAAGAAGCGTCCAATTGAAGAGTCCATTCTGAAAGGAAACGAAAAGGAAGAAGACATACATAAAGAAAACAGATGTGGAAAACTCGAAGTTGGATACCCTGAGCCTCAGGTATGTCAGAGTGAATAATTACAGTCGAATAAATTAGATGAAGTCGGAATAAGTTGGATACCACCATCACAACCTCCTCACAAGTTGCTTGGGTGGACAAATGGACTCAGCAGGCCCCGGCACCGCTTATACAGCGTCGGTGGACCGGGTGATGGGGTCCACCGAAACATTCTCCAACCTCATGGACTCATCACGTTGTCCAGTGCTAAGGTGTTCAGATGTGTTCAGCATGTTTTGAGCCTTGTGTCGTTGTTGCTGTTGCTGTTGCTGTTGCTGTTGTTGTTGTTGTTGTTGTTGTTCTTGTTCTTTTGGTTTCTGGAATTTGGGTGGGCAACCTGTAGGCAGTTTGCTGGCATTGTATTGACTCCCGTTGGCCCCGTTGGCCCTTGCACTGCTCTTTAAGAGGTTGGCAATCCGGACAACATGGCACTTAAGTATGAATCAAACAGGTATTCAATTCAATATCAACATGATTTGAGTGCTATTGATGAACACCCGCAACAGCATCAAATCGCCAACACTGGCTGTGCCTACCGTGGCCCTGCCCTCTCCCAGACCTCGTAAATCAGGACCTTTCGATATAAGCAGTTATTTTGATTTTTGTTGACTTCAAACACTTCAAAACATCTTCAAAACCGTCTTCGAGATCGCAGCACGGTCGATCCTTCGTTCCTCGATATCATGAGAAGAACAAACATTTTGTTCAGAGAAAAACAACAAGAACCCATGTCCATCGCCGCCGCGTCGGGGGACTGCTCACTCCGATTGGCAGTTTTGGGAGTCGCTTTGCTCGGTTAGGAGAAGTCTCAGGGAGTTCTTTGCGTCTTCGGATTGCCTGAGGCGGGTCGAGGGTCTGCCTGGGTCGGGTCAACTCGGTCGAGGGTCTGCGTCTGAGTCTATGAGTTGTCAGAGTTGACGTGTTTGGCCAAGCTTATTATAATGTATTTTGCAAGTTTTAGATAAAAGGGGGCAGAGGAATGATAACACCGTGCTAAGCTTGGATTCTTTGAGCCTTTAACCAGGCTGGAACGGTGGAATCTAAGTTTCTAGCGGCTTACAACGGACTGTGACTAGACAAGACAGGAAGATGGAGCCAAGAAAGCACAGGTCCCATGTCCAAGGTGCTTACAGCCACTTCGGTGATAAACGGTTGAGACCCATGACCTGGTCCGACCAGCTTTTGTTCACCCAGGTGCTGACTTCTACTTCTAAGATCTTATAAGAACCTACTGGGCAGTGTGTTTGCCTTAACGGTGTTTGCCTCGTTTGACATGGATTCCCCCGCCTTCCCCCCCGCCGACCATCGGGTCGGGTCGGACTGGCCGTCGTTATGGGCCTTTTTCAGGGCCCCGCGCCAGCGATCGGGCAGAGGGTGGTGGTGCTGGATGGCGCAGCTCGGATTGTCCGAGGGTGAGAGGGTGATGTGGTGGGTGTGGAGGATGTTTGGCATCCAAGGTCTGACAAGGATGGGTGCATCTAGAAGGTCTTTAGGTCTTTAGAGACATCTAAGATCTGGATCCAACTGAAGGGTTTTCGAGATAGATGATGATAGATTCGGAAACGACATCCAGTAGATGAACCAAAGAAACTGACCTGTAGTGTTGAAGATGAAACCGCAAGATCTGGAAAGCGTTGCTCCACCACTACACTATGCAAAGCAGGTTCTGGGCTGTTCTAGGGGTTGCGTGTTGTGGTTGAGGGAATAAGTGGGGGGGTGGGGGGGTCGGGTCGGTTTTTTCTGACCTTTCTCCTGAAAACATTGCACGCGGTGTTTGTATGCCTCCGGTCTAAACACGTTGGCCTCCACTCTTTTGCTCACTTTTGCCGCAATCCTCAGACCAGCCCCACAAGGGCCCTGGAAGTGGATGACATAGGCTCCAAAAGGAAGACCATTTTTGGAATCGCATGCCAAACAGTCAAGTGGTGGTTCTCCACTTCCATGTCAATGACTCATAATGACTCAGAGAGTAATATCATGGTGTTTCTGGTCCTGCTCACTGTTTACCAACGCATTTGGTACGTGGCTGGTTTCTGACAGCACAGGGCTGGCATGCCAGAAGGTGCTCGCGGGAACGAGGCGAGTCCAACAAGATTGCTTTTGTTTCCATTTCGGCTCTCCTCATGTTCTCCAGATGGTGTTTTTCTTCCAACGGGGGTCTTCTTTTCGGAACCAAGGTTGAAGACCCCAACAATTTGGGCGTCATCTTGCGGACTTTGGAGGCCTTCAACTGCAGGAGATCACCACACGGAGGGCAGAACGCACCGGAGAACGGTTTCGGGGGAAACGGGCTGGGCGGGCGACGGATGGATGGAGCCGGCGATCTGCGCTGATGGCCAGGTCAGGAGCCGTCCCGGTCCTTCGATGGACGGTAGCCAGCAGCCATATGGTTGTCGATCTAAAGGTCCTAGTCAGCAGTGTGTATGACGATGACCCGGAACATATCAAAATCTCATTTGGCGAAAGTTTTTTCTCGAGTTGGCGAAAGTATTTTTTTTTGGCGAAAGATCTGGCGAAAGATTAAATATGTACTTTTTATGAATGTTCATTTGCTTTCTGAACAGCTGGTGGCAGTGACTCAGAAGCTAGATGAGCTGTGGAAGTTAGATAACCTGCTGCTGCTGCGGCTGCTACTACTACTACTACTACTACTACGACTACCACTACCACTACCACTACTACTACTACTACTCCTACTACTCCTACTACTACTACTACTATTCCTGCTCCTGCTTTGGGGGGGTGGCTTTGCCACAAAACTCTACCCCGCAAAAGGCGAAAGTTTGGCGAAAGTTCAGCTCAAGATTGGCGAAAGTTCACCCTGCCACATCTGACCCCCAGCCCATTATGAGTAAGTTTGAGTGACCGGCTACTACAGTGATTCTTGCAATTTTGATTCTTGCTGACACCCAGGAGAAACAAAAGAGACGTACAGGGTGTCAACAGTTAAGTAGAAGACACATGCTGACAAACAGTGAAGTTTCTATTTTGTGTTTGCCAGTAAAGAAGAAGCCATTGACGTGAACAAAACACAACATACATGGCACACATAAATACAACGTACTTCGGCGAAAGATAAAACGCAGGAAGGCGAAAGTTTGGCGAAAGTAGTTTTTTGGGGTGAAAATGACGGATCCCGGATAAAGGAATTTAGATCAACTCCCATATAGCATTATATAGCCATCCAGAAAGAGGTGAACGGTGAACATGCATAAGGGCCTTGCTGCACTTGAGTTCTTCAGCTGTTGAGCTGATGCTTTTGTAAATTCAACAGAATCAAGGACTCCTGGCATCGTGAAAAGGAGACAAGGCCCAGGTGTTTCTGTTTAGAAGAGTATGACACCAGTACGCCCAGTACCGCGGGATGTCAAGCCTCGTCAGAAACATCAGCGCTTGGAGATGTTGGCCGCGGTGTTTCTTCTAGAAGACATTAGACATACTGAGACGTGCTGATACATCAGAGCTTGGAGATGCTGGTCGTTTCACCTACTTGGATGGAAGCTAAATGAAGATAGTCTATCCATATTGGATGTCATCCCAGTTCCGGTCCTGTAGATGTGCCAATGGCACATGTTGTGGAGAAGGACGGGACCGTAGTTCTTATCCCTTCCAGGATGCCAAGCCGGCCCAGCTTGGGGGTGTGACTTTAGCTGTTCGGCTGCACTGTTTCTTCGAATGCTTTCAAAGGTTGAATTTCACTGCAGCCATTTTTAAAAGATCAAGCGCTACACAGTTTCTGGTTGCCACGGGGACGTCTATCTAATGATCAGGAGTTTGCAGAAGTACTGATCAATCGATCTAATTGAGCAAAAGCCCTCAAACGTTTGCAGCCAGTTGCCCTGGATATGTTGTTTTTGCCAACAACGATGTTCATTGATCATGATAGATAGCGCATGAACACGCGCCGTTGCTAATTGTGCTTCAGAATGATTCCCTAAGCGCTAGCTACTCCTGATCCATATATGATTCGACTGATTGTAATTACATCCCGTTGCCTTTGCAGTAAGAATTCATCCACGAACTGACTAATGAACTAACTAACTAACCCAATGAATCCAATTCATGCTTAAAGCCGTACCCTTCTTGTTACATTCACATTCCTCATCCCTTTCGTCTCCTCTCAGTCCCCATGGACCTCCACGACGACCGTCCCTTCACCTTGCAGCTCGTGGCCTTAGACGGCGAAGCGGTCGCCGTGACCGCGGCGCCCACTTCCACGGGGCGGCAGCTGCGGCAGCAGCTCCTGGCGCAGCTGGGGCCGCGGCCGGGGAGGCGGATCGGATGGATGCAGCGAGGAGAGGATGAGGTGGAGTTGACCAAGACGCTGAAGGACGGAGAGAAAACGAAAAGGGATTGGAATGGAAAGGTGGTGGGGGAGAGGATTCTGGTTCTAATGTTAGTTGGGGAAAGGTTTGTGGGAAGGTTTTGGTGTGTGTGTGTGTGATGGGTGGATTTGGGTTACGTTTTTTTTTGAGATGATAGAGGACCGACCCCTTGGGGAGTCAGGTAGAGAATGAAACTTGTGGAGAGTGGATATCCTAGTGGAACCGGGACGGACGGAACTTGATGGTCCGTTACACACGGACCGAGGAACACATCACATGGAAGTGGAGTTCACCCTCCGTTCGTAAAGGAAAGTCGTCTTCCAAGGGACCATGCCATCCACTTCCATGTTAGTGAGTCAGTGGAGCTGAGAAACATCAGGAGCAAGGGATTGGAGCCGATGAGCTTGTGAGCTATGTCTATGTGCCTGCCAGTGTGCACGATGGCTGGAAGCTCATTCAAGGATTTCGAGTGGAGGATTATGAGACTGCCTTAGAGGGCATCACCGAACTGAAAGGCATCGACAATCTGCTTTACCTGCGAACACTTCCTTGCAGTCTGCAGAGCATGACCTTTGGCAATCCATTTGACCAAGTGTTGCTGGCAGTTTCTTGGCCAAGCCAGCTTGAACATCTCAAGTTCAGCTACCATTTTGATCAGCGTCTGGAACGAACCGTGTGGCCCAGTCGTTTGAAGACTCTCATCTTCGGCTCAAAGTTCAACCAGCCATTGCAAAGAGTGAAATGGCCTGAAAGCCTGGAGCGGTTGACCTTCGGCGACAACTTCAACCAAAGCTTCGAAGGAGTTACTTTGCCACCCAAACTTCAGTCTTTGACCTTGGGTGGAGACTTTAACAAGAGCTTGGTGGGTGTAGATTTGCCGAGCAGTTTGCAAACATTGACGTTTGGCTGGCATTTTGACCAGGGTTTGCGGGAGGTCACTTTACCCCATGGCCTCCAAAGCCTTGCCTTCGGAAACAACTTCAACCAGAGTTTGCAAGGAGTTCTTTGGCCCGACAGCCTTGTGAGTGTGACTTTTGGGAATAAGTTTGACCAGAGTTTAGAGGGCATCACTTGGCCGAGCGGCTTGCAAAGCCTCACTTTTGCCAGTCAATTTAACCAACGTTTGGAAGGAGTGACTTTCCCCAGCAACCTGAAGGAATTGATCTTTGGCAGCGAGTTCAACCAGAATTTGCATGTCTCATTGCCAACAAGTCTCCAGAACTTGACGTTTGGTGATAAGTTCCACCAGAGTATGGATCCACTAACTTGGCTGAGCAACCTCAAAAACCTCACCTTTGGACATGGTTTCAATGAAGAACTACAGCAGATTCTCCTTCCGAGCCAGCTGCAGACTCTGAGATTTGGAAATGACTTCAATCAATCCTTGAAGGGAATCCTCGGGACTTTGGAACAGCTGCAGAGTGTCACGTTCGGCAACAGCTTCAACCAAAGCTTGGAGGATGTGAAGTTCCCTCCCAGTCTGCAGGTTCTGATCTTTGGAAGTGATTTTAACCAGACGTTGCTTGGAGTAGCTTGGCCCCAAAGCCTCAAACGTTTGACCTTCGGAGTTCACTACAACCAGACCTTGGAAGGAGTGGCTTTGCCGGAAACTCTCGAGACCTTGACATTTGGTGTCGAGTTCAACAGGAGTCTGGATGCGGTGGATTTGCCCAAGAGCTTGCAGACTTTAACTTTGGGTTGGCATTTTGACCAGAGCTTGCAGGATGTGATCTTGCCCAGTGGCCTTCAGAGTCTTTCCTTTGTTTGCAGCCGCATTCACAATTTGAGAGACCTCACTCTACCCAGCGGGTTGCAAATCCTGAAGTTTGGGTTCTGGTTCAATCAGAGCTTGGAAGGCCTGGTCTTCCCCTGCAATCTTAAGACATTGATTTTCGGCCGTGAGTTCAACCAGAGCTTGGACCATGTGACTTTACCCAACAGTCTTCAGACCTTGACCTTCGGTGACAAATTTAATCAAAACTTGGACGAAGTGACTTGGCCCATTGATCTGGAAACCCTGACCTTTGGATGCCATTTTCAGCAGCCTGGCTGTGCAAAGGGCGTTCGGTTTTTAAAGAAAGGCTCTTGTTTTGATGTGGTAAATTCCAAATGCAATCCCATCCATTGCGTGGCCTCCGACTCCGAGCCCGCTCCTCGGTGTATTATATATATATTATAATATGTAATTTAGCACAATCAATCAATCACACACATTGTTCCTGGATATGAGTAGGTGAACTGTCACGATCCAGCCTAGCAGCAACACAACCTCAAAGGCTCTCCTAGCTGCATGGAGTTCTTCACCATCCACAACACACGTCCCCACGTAATTCATTCACGATTCACTCCCTCCCCCGATGTCCAAGAACAAACGAGCTCCGCGACGACCCACACCTCACCTTGACTGGGCAACCTCAAGCTCACCAAACAAGTCAGACCCGACCTCGTTAGCAGTTTGTTCATCCGTTTTTCTAAGGCAAAGTCCGGTTCAACCATCCGTTCAACCATCCTCTTCAACCATCCGTTTGTTCCGTCTGTTCATCCAAGGCAAAGTCTGGAGAAGGTGACCTTTCCGAGCAACTTGGAGAGCCTGACCTTCGGCCACGAGATGCGACGACGCTTGGTCATGGCCAAGTTACCCAGCCGACTCGAGATGTTGACGGTGGGCCGCTCCTTGACCTCGACCAGGGGAGTCGTACCAGACGGGTGAGGGGGCGAGGCGGTTGGATGTCCTAGGAATTTGCGCCAGAAGAGGAGAGATTTAGAAGATCAGAAGAGGAGAACGGAGCTGGATCTCTGCGATTTGAAGTGGAGCCAGTGATTCAAGTGCAGTTGGATGCGGGACTGACTGGGATTGGTAAGGGTTCATGCCAGGCAACGACAAGTATTGGGGTGATGAGACAGTCCCATCTCTTTTTTGTGTCTTCTCCCCTGAGGTGGTTTTAAAAAAACTCCTGAGAAAGCGATATGTGGTTTGAGGGATGCTCCCATAGCTTGCATCGAACTGCCCCGGTTTGTCACAAATGACAGACCACAGAGAACCGGAGGAGACCGGAGTCAATGCCCACTCCAACACGGCTGTCCGTTTGGTTCATCGCTTTAAAGACCGTCCGGTCGCTGGAAAAAAGGTCCGTGGATTTCATACATTCGGGCAGAGCGAAATAGAGAGAAGTAGAGATATTAGTGGAGCTGTCCGTGTTCAATTCGGCGCCTTTCAGACGCTGGTTTTAAGGGAGACTTGCTGCCAGTGTCTTGGAGGCTCTTAGATAAAGATAGACACTCAAGGAAACGGAACAGGCAAAATGTGTGTAAACTAGAGAAGGGTGTCGGTGTGTCTCTCTGTGTGTGTGCCTATTGTGGTTGGTGTCATTCTTTCACGCAAGACATGGGTGTCCCTCTCTTTTTGTTTCTCAAACTGAGAGGATTGAGGATGGTTTAACAGATCCTTATATAGAATCTAAGGATCATAAAGATTGCACTAGCCGTGCTAGCAGACACGTTTGATTGGACATATTTCTGATCCAGTGACTAGTAGTCGGGCCTAGCCTCGCCTCAGAAGCTTAGATCAATCACCCCGTTCGTAGAGCTAAATCGTCTTACTTCCCGGGATCTATTTTCCACTTCCATATCCCATACACTCCATGGGACTGGAAAAAGAAAACACATTGACCCCCCAGTCATCCACCACCCCTGGCCTGATCTCTCGGCAGTCCGGACTGGCAGTCCCATTCGTCGCTTTTGGGATTGGGGTGGCTGTGGGGCTGTGGGTCGAGAGCCGCGCCGACCAAGACGTCGGGAGGACCCTGCTGGTGACCAAGGGCACCGTCGATCCCTTCAACGCGAAGGCTGGTAGAGATCTGGCTAAGCATGTATTTCCCTGAATGCCTTCCAAAAACGTTTAAAACATGGGAGAAGACTAGGAGAGACTTGTAGTGAAGAGTTTATAAATTCTCAATCCCCTTCCAAAATGCTTGACACACATTCGGAACGACTTGGTTTTGTAAGGTAAATTCTTTGGTAAAACAGCTCGGTGCTTCGGGATTCAGACCATTCTTTATTTCGATGGTGGTTGGATCCCCAGGGCTTTTGCGCATGTGTTACTTTCCCTTGGCTCCGTTGCGACGTCCACACGCCGGGGGGGAGGGGCTTTCCCGTGCTACATGGCAGGTGATTCTAGATCCCTCTATGTTCGGGAGATCAACCGAGCTCCCATGGTTTGTAGGGTGAGCCCGTAAGACCAACCCTACTGTACGAAGCTGAGAACTGCTTTCACCCAGAAGAAGGAAGCAGGGGAACAAGCCACTCAACAGGTTCAAAAAAGTTCGGTTCACCATGGTGAACCTTTCGGTTCCAGGACAAACTGAGGGAGTCAACCCATGGCAGAAGACACTTCTTTGCAAAGCTCGGTGTGGAGTACACTGATGGTCTCAACTGGTGCACTCTTGACCTTACGTGTTTCTTCACCACATGTTGTACAACCTCAACACCTCAATGATGATTCCTGATCTTGTGAACCTGACAGGCTGCAACTGCAACAAAGCCAAACGAATGACGCATCTATTATATGTAGCCAGAAAGCGTGATTCTCCCCGGGCGGCCTCAATGTTTGGGAGGGATCCACCTGAATAAAGCCCGAAGAACCAGCAGCACCACCCTTATTAGCAACCATCAGTGAAACACTTTAACAACTGAAATGACCTATACCAGTGCCCCTGGTTTCCGGGATGGTGAATGGATACCCTGAATTCACCGGTAACAAGAAGCTATCAGTTCGACACCCTGAAACCTGGGGGCCCTGGTATATACTGCTTCATGTTTCGTGTTGTTCAGATCATTCATATTCCGTCCATCGCCTCACACCGGTGAAAAAAGAAACGCAGGTCGTCCGCTGCTCCATGGGCGCCGCGGTGCGCGGAGCGGTGCACGTCCGGGAGGTGCCGGCGGGTCTCGGTGGGTTCGACGGCGACGACACGCAGACGACACAGGACGACGGCCCCTGGGAGCGAATTTTGGAGCGTGTCGGTTTGGAGGAAAAGATGCCCTAAAACGGAGATGCCACAAGAAACACGGTTGGTCAAACGGAGATGCATGGTGTTTGGTTTTAGTCAAACTGAAACATCCTGAAACCACTGGTGACCTACAAGCTAGTGGTAGTTGGATGGGATGACTAAGATGGCCATCCCATCATGCGTCTCTTTTTCGGGACAAGACCTCACGAGATACTGGAGCTGAAGTCCACTTTGTTGGATGCTAAGGTACCAACGCTTCAATGGGACTCCAATTATTAGACAACTTCAAGCCAGGGTGAAGTGCTGATCTACACTACACCCATGTTCTGTGTCAAACCCAATCCTTTATAAGCTGCACAGTGAACACCCCTTGCCTCACACCGGTGCCCTCGCTCCCCTCGGTGCCGCAGCCCGACCACGGAGCTCGCAGGTGGCGCAGCCGGAGCTCGCCTCGTTGCTGGCGGAGCACCGGGTCTTTGTCACTGAGCTCAGGGACCGAGGGACTGGGGCGCGGAAGGGTGTGGATGGGGGAAGGGTGTGTGGAGGGTGTGGTTGAAGTGGTGCTGCTTGTGCTTGGTATTAGGGTTGCAAGTGGATAGTTCTTTGTTCATCTTTGCTCTAAAATTTGGAGAGAAGAGAATGGTGAGGAAGATTGTAACCTAGGAAAGTGTTGTTTTTCGTTATACAATCGGTTTAAAGAAGAGTTTGGTTGTCTCTTCACAAATTCATGTAGAAACTAGGTGATCCACTCAAAACAATCCTAAGAGGCCATACTCATCCCATGTATCAAATCAATCACAAAAGTCGACAGCGACGAAACTGGTGTTGGTGAGACGATCAACATCACACCTCCCAAAGAAAATGAGTGAACAACATCAACCAAGACCTTCAAAGAGACCTCTTTGGAGTCTCTAAGCGACCCTTTACAGGCCTAAGTGACCTCATCCTGGGATCTCAAAAGGTCACTTTGAAGGTCCTGGAACAAACCTCTTCACGCGTAGGGTGACCTGTGAGCTCTATCATTGAAGTCAATGCAGGCCATCGGCCTCCCATGGTAAAGTCCCTGAAAAACATATATGTTTACCCGACCTTCGGTTCCTGTGTCCGCATTGAGATTCCATAGTTTCAACACATGATTTTTGTTCATGGATGTTAACACAAATCAATGCCTGATCATCGGAGTCCCATGGTGAAGTACCAGAAAAAACATATTTTTGCCTTACCTGTGGATCCTGCGTCCACATGGTGATTCCACAGTTTCAACGCAAGATTTTGAAATATATCATTGTTTTTTTGGACACCGGCGTCCCAATGTAAAACACAGGGTTCTGCACTGACTTCTTTGACTTCCTGAATGCGTAGCGTCCCATGCGGTTTGGCCATGCCCACGGCCGATGCATTGACTTTCATCTTTGGGTGTATCAAGAGGTCAATGGAGTCAACAATCGTCGATGTACCTCTCAACGATCCCAGCATTTTCCTTCATCCCGGTGGATCTCTGCTGCCCCGCCCATATGGCCCACCTGATGGGGCATCCACTGCGCACCACCTTGGACCGCGTCTTCATAGCCACTGCCAGGAGGACGCGCTGCCCTCTTGGAGCTTGGGGGGAACATTTGACCGGTCAAGATGCCTTCGTGTCGCTTGGCCGTCGTTGGAAGTGGCTGGAAAAGGGATGAGGCTGCTGAAGTCAATGGGAGGTCGAGGTCGCGGGGGTCGATGTGAATATATGGTTTGTGCTCTGGGAGCAGAGACGGTGGGGCGTGTTTTTGTGTGGGAAGAATCTCTGTATGTATATCACATAGAAACCAAGTAAATCACTCTCACTTCAAGCCTCAATTTTTATGTAGAATTGTGTTGGAACTTGGAACATCTTGATTGCCACAGTATTTGCCACCCTAAAACATGGTTTAAACCAAAACCTCTCCCAGACTCCTTCCCAAGGGTTTTCGACTTTCCCGACCACGTCGCCCCGGGATCGTCTCTCCGCGTCGTCCCCGAGGTTCGGCAACGAGGCCCGGGGCGTGAGCCCAGAGGTCGCCCAGCTGGCGCAGCGGACGCTCGGAGTGAGCACCGGGCCGGTTCGCCTTGTAGGACGTCCCCAGGGCCTGTGACTCTCTTTTTTAGAGTGATAAATATGTGATTGCAACTTGGCTATACTTGACTTACTACTTGTTAATATTAGTTGGATTGTGAGTCTTTTTGACCGGTATATTCAAGCTTGGGAGTGCCTGGAAGCAGCGAGTAGCAATTACAACAGATACAAAACATGATGTTTGCGACTTGAGAACTTCTAGGTGTTTGCAGGAAGTTTACAGTATATATAGTTTATCCAATTGTTTCTTTGACCGTTAGCACATGTTAAAACATGTTAACACACCCAGCGCAATACAACACGTGTTGTGTTAACACCCCCCCCCCGCATGTTTGCAGTTCCTCAGCTCCATCGCCCCTCCTCCTCACCAAACCCAGGCGTTTGTGCATCCCCATGTCGCCCAGCGTGGATTCCCTCAACGTGGGCATCTCCGTGGGCATCGTCCTCCACGAGGCCGCACGGCCAAACGCTCACAGCGTCAGCGCTGCATCGGATGGTTCGGCCGGAAAAAAACAGGCGAGCGCTCGCTGCTTGGTGAAGGCCTGTGCTGGGTATAGGTGACGTGTATGGGTGTTGGTACTTAGTGTGTGAGTGAACAACAAGAATGTACAAATCAAGAAACTGTTGGGTATGTATGAGGTATCCCTTTGTTTGGCAAGAGTTGATCAGTGTTTGGGAAACCCTGGATCAAAATGATCATAAAAGGAGGCCGAGAACTTTTCGGGTAAATGTCTACTGAAGACTAGGAGCACCTCGACACCATAAGCCTTGAACCCATCAAATCATTGTTTCCCTCTGGTGTTCACCTCGACTATTGATCTTATTTCAGACATTTTCAGACCATATTCCACGCTGATGTAGCTGATGTAGCTTCATGAGCTCGAACGGTGGCCGTCCCAGCTGACCGGTGGCTCAAAGCACGGTAATGATTTGCCCCCTCGATGCGGAGGGCAGATGGATATCGAGGACGCGGGGTGGGCCCTTCCGGCTGAAGACACCGCAATCTGAAGCAAACGCTGGTGGTGAGGTTGGGTAAACGAACCGTTGAACCGATGTGACATTGATGCAACCACTCTCTGGAATTGATGTGACATTTGATTTGTTTCTTTGGTTTCAGGTTTGATGTGTATGTTTCAATCCACATGGACGTTTGAGAGCTAGAATACGGTGAGCACATTTGCAATCTTGACCTTTATCTAGAGGCAAATGGTGGCTGTTCTAATCCCTTCTCCGTCCAGTTGTGTGGCTGCTCGTTGCAATGTTGCGATTCATGTCGCAACTCTCATTTGGGAGCTCAAATTTGAATTGAACATGTAAGCCTCAAGGAAGAACCCTGCCCTTTTACACATTCCTAGAAAAGCAATCAATATCTTGGAAAATCAGCCTTTAGCAGTAGCAAAGAACTCCACAATATGTGTAATCCAAAACTCCTTCCAAAAAGATCCCTGCAACTCATTCCAATTCATACCAACCCGTTGCAAATTCATATGTAATGCCCCATGTAGCAAAGATATGGCATTCCATCCCCCTACATCTGAATATCCAATATAATACAGCAACGAAGCGTTCCATTCACATAAGTGGTGTACAGCCTTGGTTTTCATGCCCCCTCTCCTCGCCAGGCGGGGTTCTTCGGCCTTTTCGGCCTGGTTCGACCGGTTCGCAGGATCTCCACCTCGCTTGCCTCGCGGAGGTGCCCAAAGGCGGAGGTGCCCAATGGGTGGTTGGTGGTTTGGAGTGTTTTGGGTGTCGGGCGGTGGTGCTTGGTGGTTGGGAAACCAGGAAGGTTCCGGTGGTGTTTCGCTGTTCTCACCGAAAAGGTGGTGGTTGGAAGATGTTGGAAGCCCATTTTTGTTTGGAGAAGCTTAGTGGGAAATTTGGAGACACCTTATATTTTTTGGGGAAGTACATTATCAAATGGCTTTTGGAGGAACAAATAAGATAAGATGACGCCGAAGAAACCCAAATAGCACCTTTATTTTTGGGATGACCTTGAGGATGTTGAAGATCCATCTGGTATTTTGTTGGTGGGATGTCTTTGGCTATGTCATTTCTATTGATCCCAATGTTTTTGTGGATGCCTGCGGATATATACCTCACCTTTCGTATTTTTCCGGTGGAAGATTGGATCGAGCCTCCGCTTGAAGACAGGTCCTTGCCAGCTAGACCCTGATGAAGAGGAGGTGCAAGCAAAGGCACCTAATGGGCGTTGGCATCTTTGCTGACATCAGGGCGGATGTGCAAACTATGTTGAACTTTTGTGAATCATCGTGGAACAGTTTTGGCAAGGCACATGCACTAGAGGCACAATAGCTGTAGCGGTAGCTGCATATCTATGAATTATCACGCTGAATTATCGCTAAAGTCCCATTCCCTCATGGCCTCGAGCCCATGTTTCTGCAGCTTGTGGAGATCGGACGAGACCGCTTGAGTCACTTAAGTGAACTGGTACTCCACATCCACTCCAAATATATATATATACATCCACCATACGCACAATGTTGCATGAAACCATATGAAAATAGATGAAATCATCCATATCTGTGTAGTTATTTGCTTTCTCGCTTGTATCAGCTCTGTCTTTTCCTACATCCATCCCCACGCTTGTCTTTGCGTCGGAACCCGCCTATCCCGTTTCCCGCCTCTGCCGTCGAATCCGAGGCGCTTATTTTCGAAGGTCACCGAGATGGATCGCATCAAGGCGGAAGCGCGGACGCCCTCGATCCTCTCCTGTTCTCGCCGCACCGATGTGTCGCTTGGGTTCGCTCCATTGTGCAGGGCGTATAGATGCGGCGGGCAGGTGTGGGAGCTCTGGGAGGTGAGGGCCATGGAGGGTGTGGAGTTGGAGGAAAACGAAGGTTTGGCAGGGAGGAGGGCCAGGAGCGGAGGGTATGGAAAGAGCTGCCAACCAGGGATATTCAGTTGCAAGTGCTTTTGTCAGATTTCAGGGAGAGTGAGAGTGAGACAGGGTGTGTTTGTTGTGTGTGTGTCATTTATTCATAGATTATGACCCCAATGTAGGCAACTGTTCCGTACATAGATGGGCTCCAGGTGTTGTTCAGAAAACACGGCATGACCTGGTCAAACACAGCCGAGGCCATGGGCCTTTTTGCGGCAGTACTTGAAGGCCTTTCGAGAAGGATTCCTCTACGTGCGCAGCCCTGCCACTCGGATGGGATGTGGAGTGGGAATGTGGAGATGGATGGAGAGGGGAAAACGAGATGGATGTGGACGGAGTATCTGACGTGGATTGTTTGTGTAGGCTGGATTGGATCCATTGGAAGGGAATATATTAAGTTCAAAAGATATCAACAGATTGTGGCTTGCGGTGTTATTTCCAGATTTCCAAGCAGGTACACTCCGACTCAGGTTCCATGGAAGTGGAGTTCACCTCCAGTTCGTATGCCATCCACTTCCATTTATTGGTCGAAGTGTACACACATTCCACAGATGATTTACTCGGAAAATTGTGGCTCAAGTAGACTCACCTGCAAAATCTGCAACGACCTTTTGCAGTAGACAACCACTCCCATAAGATTTTTCTCGTTCGAGTTTTGAAGTCCTGAATGGCTGGGGTGTTTTTGTCCCTGGTGTGTCCCAGTATGTCTTAGTAACAGATCCGCATAAAAACTCTATGTGTTTCTTTGGGAAAGGCCCGCAACCCAACAATGACCCCACAACAGCAACAACCAATAAAAGGGCGTTCCTCCAGGTATTCTTCAACAGTTTTCCTTTCAAAAGGGCCTCCATGACTCCATGACATGCTTTGCTGCTGCGAAAGCTCTTCGAGGTGACCGGCGACATGGACCCCGTGTGTTTGAAGCCCTACGATGCCAGCACGGGGCGTGGTGTGATGTGCATCAGCTGGTGGTCCAAGAACTACTGCAAGTGGATCGAAGAGTTCAAAAAGCAGGACCGGTGCGACACCCCTCGCGCGGGTGGGTGGCTGAAACCCTTTCCGCGGTTTCCGCCAGCTGCAGCTGCACGCACTGCGGGAAGGCAGGTGGATGCACTGAAACCGTTTTGGGTCCCCGTAGATGCGGATTCGGCCTATGGCCGGCCTTCCAACTACCTCCTGATATAGTTGAGGTGGGTGCCAGAGGGGTTTTACTCTGACCTTCTGAGGATCTGGTTGGAGCCCGGCCTTGAAGACCTGTCGCCCCCAACGGATGAACCGTCGCATCCCGTCGGCCCTGCCCGAAACGGTGCCGAACGGCGGAACGGCCGATCGCTTCAACTCCGAACTCTCGGAACCTTAAAAGGAGCGCTTTTTTCTTCTTTAAGGTCTTCATTCGGTCTGAAAATGAAGCTACATTGATTGGAGAGTTCCTAGGTTTAGGTCTGATGTTCACCTTGCTGGTTCTTCTTTAAGGTCTTCATTCTTCACGTTCGGTGATGGTGGTTTCGGATATGGTTCGCATGATGGTTCGCTATGTTCAACCCGTATACTTTCCTCCGGGATGGATGAAGAAGGGCCCTCTCTGACTCATATTTGTCAAGTGGGCTGAACACACCAACCAGTTCAATATTCTTCATATAGATTCTTCCAGTCGCTTTGCAGGTTTATAAGCATGCAAAAGCGTTACTGTAACCTGCAAGTACCGGTGATGGAAGAGTGGCTTCAAACATCTTAATGTTGCACAGATGCAAGCTGTGATTTGTGGCCATTGACCAAACATGCTGTTAGCCTCACCCCATCTCACCCCATCCCCACCTCCTACGCGTAAGTGATCTCAAATCCGATGCGTAAGTGATCCTTCACTTCAAGTGCTCTCCTTGATCGCAAGTGACCCATTTTGCGCTGCGCAAGTGATCCCTTTGCCTGTTCCATGCATGTTGAAGACAGGGTCAAGATATCTTTTGCAAATGGATCATTGGAGATCCAGCCACCCTTCTTAATCATGAAGCATTGGGTGAGTAATGTATTGAATGGGTTTCGCTAGATAGAAATAGCATTGCACATTCCAAAACTAGGACCATTGCTTCATTGGGTTTCACATGTTTCATGCACTAGCTAGGACGGTTCAGGTATTGATCTTATGTAGGTTTTTGCATGTGTGTTGCTTTAATTTGGTGACTGGTATTAGGTGTTTCCTAGTGTAATGCACCTCTTGGAGGACAGCATTCTGCACAGCTATCCGGTGCATATGTTCAATTTCACCGTGCCTCAATCGCAGTGGGCGCAGCAGCTGCCGGGGTAGCTACAGTGGCCATAGGTGGCCCTGTTTGCTTATATATATAGTTGTGTGGTGGTTGGGTGATTTGGGCAGCGTTGGTTATATAGTTTGGTTCGGCGCATCGGTTGTTTGCTCAGAATCAAACAGTTGGGTCAAGAGATGTGCGGAGGTCCCTCACAACGCAAAAAAAATGATGTGACAAAGCGACATATTTGTAGGCAGAAGGCACAACAAATAATTATGTGTCAGTTGTTCAGTCCTGATCGTCGTCAACCGCTTTCTTAAAATATGTTTAAGGAACCCCAATTCAATTCTCTCATCGCCTTGATCCAATTGCTTTGGATTGAGGTGAACTCGGATGACAAAGTCTTGGAGCCGGGAGTGTTCCCGCCACTGCAGGAGCGCTTAGGACGCTTGGCTTGGCGGCCAACGGGATCGTTGGGATCTGACAGGCTCTTTGGATGATCCAAGTGCTGATCTCTGCGTTGATCCAACAGCCAAATACATCAAATACACTCCCAGGAACTAACATGGAAGTGGATGTCATGGCCCCTTGGAAGACCATGAAATCCACTACAAACAGGTGGTTTTCCACTTCCATGTTTGTTTTCGGGAGTGTACGCGTATCACATAGTACTGGAATCGAGTGTATTCCACCTACCATGCCGAAACACGCCGACCATCACCGACCCATCGGTGTTCTGCACAAACTGGGAAACATTGAAAAGACAATAGATAGATAGACAGAAACAAACGCCCTTAAGAGGCTGTGTTTGCGCTCCAGGTTTCTCATTCAAAACAAATGTATGATGTGGTGCACTGTGTTTTTTCCCCACAATCCACTCTCAAAGCAGGCCATGCATACAACGCATATAGAAACCACCTGCCATTCCACCATACCACCACCGTGCTCTCCGCTTCACCGCACCGCCCGCACCGGGGCCGTGCCGCACCGCACCGCCGGATGCCCCGCTCTCGTTCGGCTTAGGACAGGTGACCTGGCTGGCGTCCACCTTCGGCGCCCACGCGTTGAACGTGCGCTTCGATCCCATCGTCCACTACCGGATGAAGGGCCAGGCGGGACCAAGGAGTGAGTGGGACGGGAAGAGGGGAGAGGAGGAAGGCGAAACGACATCGGTGGTTGTAAATATGTTGTAAATAGGGTGTTGAGGCTGTGTGTGTGCTATTTTGGGGTGGTGGATGAGATGAACTGAAGTTCATCTATTATTGTAGTTCAAGCAAAATGTTGGGATTTGGATGGGTTTGGAAGTATAGATGGATTTAGTTGTTGTTGGTTTTAAGATGCTTTATTTTGGCATGTTTTGAAGCTTGAAATGAAGGGCCCGAAGGGGGTGATGACATGCAACTACTGTGCCAAGTTCCCAATCAAAACTAACCTTTTGAGCCTTTTGGAGAACCCTCATTGTAGAGGATTGCTAGTGGCAATGCCAAATGTAAAGGTTTACACTAAAACACCATGCAAAGTGTATAGTGGGACGCTACTCTCTCTCCTCCCACGCGTGTAACACGGGGTGCCCCCCCCCCCAACGGTGTGACACGGGGTGCCTCCCCCGCAGCACCGACCGTATCGACGGCCGAGACGGCGGTGCGCAATAACCTGGGCGACTTCGAAGAGATCGTGAAGCATTTGGGCCTCCTAGGACTGGGAGCTCAGTGGGAGAGCACGGTGTGCGGCTGCGAGCGGCGCACGTTGCGGCGCGCCCTTGGAGCGAGCGGTGTGCGCGAGCGGTTTTCGCAAGCGGCTGCGCACACGGACGTCGGAGCGGTGCGTGCGCACGGTGTGTAGTAGGCTCCATGTCGAGGGAGAACGACCCCCGTGAACCGGCCTTCCTGGGTTTTTGAAGGAAACTAGATGGATCTTAATATCCATTGGGTTGTGGCCAGGGTGTCTCCCTATTCAAGAGGTGACAAGCTCTTTCGGTGACAAGCAGGTCAGTTGAATTGCAAAGTAGCACTGAGAATTAGACTGAGAAAGAGGATTGAAAGCAGAGACAACTGGACTCGATCTCTCAAAAACCAGCTTGAGATGGACTGACTGATGACTAATTAATTTGCTGAAGGGTTTTGGAGTTTGATGACGTGTTGCTTGTTTCACTGGGTCACTGGATTGTTTCTTAACTCGCCCTGCACGAAACGAACGGTGTTTCCCTCGCAGGGTCTCATCATACCGGTTGCAGTTGCATGGCTGGCCAGCGACGAGGCATCCACCATGTGACCTTCAGCTTCTGCAAGCCTTACAAGCAATCGGCACCTGGACTGGACTGAGTAACTGAGTATGCGTTCTTTGCAAGTCAGTTTGCCTTGCACGAGCGGGGAAGACACTTATATAGAGCTTAGCTAGTAGCTTAGCTATGCTTATAGCTTATATGGTCTCCTCGTTTGCCCTGCGTGAAATGCTTTGTGTGCTCTTTGACCATTGGCAGCTGATGCCTAAAGTTCTGCCTCAAGTCCATATTGGCACCCCAAGTTCGAAGAAACCAAACAACATGTCCTGTCGTTTTGGTACTGTATCCTGTTGGTATCATTCACTCGGCCGAGTCTCTTAAGAATACGCGTCTCCAGGCCGTTTGCGTCTCGGCCGAGGTCCGAAACATGCTCTCCGCTGGCGTGGAATTGGTGGCCCTCTCCGAGGAGCAGCAACGAGCAGTGCTGCCTGGATCCAGAAGGAGAGCGGGGTGTTTTCGTGTTCGTACCAAGAAGTTCAGGGGGGAGATGCTGCTTCTCTGAACAGGGAAGCTGTAGGGGTGTTTAAGATCCTAGAAGGATCCCAGCACATGTGCTATAGTGAACCATTTGGCCATTTTATTTAGCCAAACTATGGCTACATGGCTATTCGCTCTTCCCAACACCCTCCAGTCCCAATGCCCTGTCCCAAGAGACCATCCACACCGCCGAAGACGACCCGCCGCCCCAGGTTGGATCAGCTGCTGCCCTTGGCGCACCGCTACGCCGTGGAGATGCGCTGCTGCTGCGACGACACGCTCTTCGGCCACCGGACGCCGGTGGAAGCCAAGGCGGACCCGACCGCGGAGAGCCGGTGGGTCCGGGTTTGGGTCGGTGGAGGTGGAGAGCCGCGTGGGACTCCAGTTGAGCGCCGCAAGAAACCTCCCAAGATGAGCTAAGTAAAGGCCTTGTCATATGGAACTTGGGCGTAAGCAAAAACCTGAAAAGCGTAAGGTTGCGTAAGGGAGTTGTGAGACATGCATGTTGCGTAAGCTTGCCATATGGTTGTGTTTTCATTAGTAGGTTCTTAGCACACACCTCGTCAAGAAAGGAATTGCATGGACTATGAGAGCTTTGAAACCCTTGGGAACAGACATTTGTGTGCACAGTGTTTTAGGTAAGTGGCAAAGGAAGAACTTTCCCCACCATTCTTGGTTCAGAATTGGGAAGTTCAGCTGTGAGTTTGTTGTGGCCCAAGCAGTCAAAGACTCAAAGAGATCTAGCAGCTAGCATGCCTGCGCCAAGTGGACTACCTAAGCGGTGTCATGTTACCACCTGCAGTGGAACAATGTGTGCTCCAGCAAAGCATGCAAAGCACGGCTTGTGGATTAGCAGCTGTGAATCTTGTTTTTGTCCAAGTACCTATTTTGCTTTGATCATTTCTTGCAATGCCTTGAGTTCAGATAGCTCTTGGTTGTCTCCTTTAGAGGCCTAAGTGACCATGATTGCATCCAGGATGGTTACTTTGTGAATGGCAGGCAGCGTAGCAGTCACCATTGTGCCGTGTATGATGGCTACAAGTGGGTCAACACGACACAGGTCCAGAAGTTTGTCAAGGCCCTTTCAAAGGACCAGCTAGCTCTTGCGTCGAAGGTTGGAGTTGGAAGATCTGTGTTCAACCGAGCATGTTTCAATGAAACTACCATAGGCAAACTGTACCACAGGAGTTTGTAGGCTTGCTCTCCTGAAAGGTGGGCGACGATGAAGGAAAACCTGTCGAGACAGATGGTGAAGCTAAAGGTGTGGGTATGGACATTCCAGAGAACAAGCTCTTGGCAGAACTGGCCCCTCCAGCTCTGGAGGTTGAGGAAGTTGAGGATAGCACTTTGGCCGCTTTGACTGCTCCAGAGGGACTTTTGAAGACCGATGGCAGCGACCTGGCTACTACAGAACATTTTTATTTGTAGGTTATATAGGGGTCGGCTTTTGGCTATTTGTAGGGCCTTTGGTGTTGCTAGCTGCTCTCTTGCAATTTTCCTAGCTACTTGGTGTTGCTTGGCCCTGGTAGGTGGAGACACGAACCAGAGATCAGTCACAGAGAGGCCTTTGAGCATCAGCGAAGCTGCCGTGCCGGACATCGCAAAGACAGTGGAAACCCAGAAGGTTGCCAATGGTAAGCCCTCGTGCTCAGATGCCTCAAGACCTTTGACAGCTCATGCCATTGCTAGCCCTAAAGTTGATGCCCCGGCCACTCCGGCCAAGAAGCCAGAGAACAAGGGCACGGACAAGTCAGGCAAGAAAAAGAAAAGACCTTTGCACGAAGGAATGTCGGGGACGCAACGCCGTGCGCTTGAGTGCGTTGAGTGCAGCTGCCAGAAGTGCTTTGCCACCGAATGTTGGCGGCAGGCCATCCAAAGTATCTGACAAGAGCCTGCAAGAACTTGTCCGCAAAACTCTGGAAGCATATCTCAAAGATAGTGAGCGCGTGCTTGTGGTCGGCCGCGGAATGAACAAGAAGATGGTATTGGCGCAGCACTTGACCAAGAAACGCAACGCAATCTACAATGTTGAAAGCGCATTGTCTTCAGCCATGAGCAGAGAGACATTCAGGAAGGTGATGAAGATCCACTTTCCTCATGTAAAGAACCCCCGCCGCCTGACCGACATATGCGCCTCATGCCGTGATCAAGGAATTATTTTGTTTTGTTTCCTGGTGCCCCCTTACTTTGTCACAATGTCCCTACAGTGAGACATGATAGGTGAGCACTGCCGACATCTAGAACGTAGCCTCATGCCTGCAGCCCTCCGATGTATGACAAAGGTTCGATCTGATATAGTGGCCTTGTGGCCGTCTTACTTTGACACTTTCGACCACGCCTCTCAAAGCAAAGAACTCACCCAGCAATCTGACCAATTCCCTCTTTTGTGCGCGTTTGCCGCCTACTTGGAGCAAGAGAACTTCAACATTGACAGCAATGCCGACCGCATGGCGCTGAATCTCAGGACTCGCATGGCCCTCCATCAGACTGAAGCCCACGCCATTAAGCAGCTGAAATCTCACCTAGAACTTCTTGAAGCCTACCGCTGGCACCAGATTTCAGCCAGACGCCAAGATCAGGTGCTGACGACATTGAGAAGTGGCGGCCTTGCATCTGACGCGCTCCTGGTTCAGGTGGACTTTAAAGAGAACGTCCGCTATCCCTTGAGCCATTGAGTTTGCGAGTAAAACCTTTTTCTTGTTTAGTTCGCCTCTAGTGGGCTGTGCTTTTGCTGCAAGCTCCCTGTGTAAACGCATCCAAGGTCGCGAAGAGAGTTCGGAAGAATGGCATGCCCAAAACAAGCTGTCGTTGACAGTCTTCGGCGCCAGTGTCATTGCTCCTGCTGCAGGGGGCGGCCATGTAGAGATCTACGTCCTTCTCACCTCGGAAAGCATCGACCATGACGCCCAATGTGGTAACATGATGGTCAACCAAGTTCTGGCGATGATACGACAGGAGAAGCGAGTCGATTGGGCAGCTGTTCGCTCCATGTGGCTGGTCTCAGACTGTGGTCCTCACTTTCGTTCTTATGAGAACGTTGCCCACTTCTGCCACACCTTGGTGACAAAGTTGCAGCTCAAAGTTCATGTACTGTACCTGGGTGAGCAGCACGGAAAGGGCTCCTGTGACAGGCTGTTTGGCTGGACCAACTCCTGGTTACAGCAGCATTTGCAAGAGGGGCCTGTCCATGGCATTGCTGATTTGGTTGCTGCCTACAAGAAAGGGGGCGCTGCGATGATGAAAACAGACCCAGACGGTCCCCTGTTCTTGGTTGCAGTTTTTGATCCTGGCAAGTTCCGCCCTACCAGACGAAAGTCTTTCAGCTGCAAAAACTTCAAGATTACAAGGACCTACAGCTTGACTGCAGAGATCAGCCGACATGCAACCAGTGGTGTGACTGTTAGAAACAATGTCTTTTCAGACCTCGCAACAAAGCAATCTCTCGACACATGGAGCATCGAGGAGACTGTGGCCGATGAGCCAGAGGAGTGGAGAAGAGGCTACTACGACAAACCTCGTTCCTGGGAGACTGTCGGCCCACAAGCTGGTGACATTACTGAACTCACTCGCAAACATGCAGCGCAGAAATCCTTCGCGAGCAAGTCAATGCCAAACCCCAAAAGGTCCATCGAGGACAAGCTTTCAGCAAAAGCTCGTGCACTCAGCAAAAAAAGCGGCAAAGAGAAGGCGACAAACCACCGCACTGAATCGTCGAGATTCTGCTGGACAAACTGAAGGTTGCACCTCTTCATCTTCATCGTCTTCATCATCTGCTTCCTCTGCTTCGGAGTCTTAGTGATCATGTGTTTGTCGCCCGCTCACCTGCAAAAAGGAGTTTTCGCGTAAGCATTTCCCTTGGGAATATGGTTCTCATCTATGAAAATGCAGAAGCGTAAGATCTGCGTAAGGTCTTCTTCAACATCCGTGGCGCGTAAGCTCACATTGTGGTCGCGTAAGAAAAGCGTAAGCAGGAGCGTAAGAAAGTTATGCGACATAGGGGTTTAATCATACGTTTTTTGCAGAGCTCAGTTGAGTGGCAGGGATGGCAGAGGGTTTAGATGCACAGTTGTTTTTCAAAGATGAGCCAATAATAGCCTGTTTTTAAAGATGAGCCGCTTCATGCATGGTGTCGTTTGAGCTAGGCTTAGAGTTATGAAGAGTAGGTAGATCATCAATCCACATTGAGTTTGCTAGACTGGCTAGACCTCTTCCCCAAGAAGGACTTGAATCTACCATGGATGTGTCAGGGTGTATTCCAAGATCCATGTTTGTCACGATGTGACATGGTGCTTTTCAGGGAGCCACTTTTTGGGGGGGATAGAAAGAAATGAGATCCTCATGGGCCACTGATCTTGATGATGTTAGACTTCGATGTCTTTCATAGCTGCTAATGTATAACAATGCGATATATAGTGAATGTTTAGGAATTGTTCACTTCTAACAAACATACACAGTACAATGATAACAAAGCATATATGCTACCATGTAGAACAAATAATCCTATCCATTCTAACCCAACAATTGGGTCCAACAAGAAAACCACAAGGAATAAGTAGAAAGATCCTTCGAGCGGATTTTTCTGTTCTTCGTTGGTGAAGTGATCACCCACAAGCCCGGACCAGGTCGAGGTTCGCAAGGTTCGCCGCTGGGGCGTTGGCAAGGACCGTTCGCCTCGCCGGATGGGTGTTCGCCGCCGGGAGATGGGTGAACTTAGGTGATCCATGTTGCCTACCAGGACCCCCAGGAGTTGGGTGGTGAATGGACACCCCTAACTTAACTGCTGCTGTTTGGGGCTATAAATAGACACCTTCTTCCCAGAATGGTCCCTGGAAGGAATGTGGTTTGCTAGGTGAAGGATTTCAGGATCGGAATGCTGCAGTGTGCAGTGGAAAGTGCAACACAGTGTATTGGACTCTGTCTAGGAGTTGTGTGCAAAGTTAACGCAGGCAAGCAATCGTACGAAAGAAGGCAAGGAAGCAAAGCCATGAACAACTTCTGTAGTCAATTTAGCTCCGCTTGTATGGCTTTCCTGAAAGCCGCTTTGGTTGAAATAGAAATAGCAAGTCGTTGGATTATATCTACCTTGGCCAAGACGTCGCAGACCAACTTTGGACCGGTGTGATATATTGTTCTTCCTCGTTGATTCATGTTCATTCGAGGAGGATTGAAGGATGTTCACTGATAACCTAAAAGAAGAACATGTCCATGCCATCCTCATTTTGCAAGATCTGCAGGACAAGGAGCACAAGATTTTATCCAAAGATGCTGATTCTTGATGAAAGTGTGATGCAAGTGGGTGGAGGTCTTTGAAGATAGCTCAAATGTGTGGTGAAAGGTGAAAGTCTTGTTGTGTTTTGCCTCCAATATGCCAATAGCTGACTTGCAATGGTCACAAAAGACAAAAGCAGCTTGTTGTTGATCCGGAAGTGCCCATGCAAAGAGAAAAGATTGGGTTGCAAGAACTGTCGAAACCTTCTAAAACTGGATCACTAAGACTGAGATCCAGCGCTCTGCCATGAGCTCCTTAAGTGCGAACAAGGAGCCCTTCATGGAGGCAAACTGCCACAGCCACAGCTGGCTGATATAGAGGATTTATTGTTCTACCACTACAGGAAGGTGTTTCTCAATGTCTGAGTGTTCCTTCTCAAGGACTACAGCTAATCACCTGTAACAAGGGGATGGGGCCTTTTCAATGGTCTAAAAAAGAACAACAGTGATCATTGTACGTTTGCCCATGTGCTGTGTGTCTACGCCGCAGATCGGGTCTTGATGGAACAATCGCGGGAACCTACCTTTCCTCCGGTTCCCCCCAGATCTGAATTTAAAAGTGCCAAGTAGTGCGTGTCCCATCTTCCGGTTCTCCCGAAAAAGCACATGTATATGGTCCACATATGTCAAGGTCCACATGGTGCGAAGTAAAGAAGTACCGTGTCCCATCGATGTTGCAGATCGGACGTCCGTCGCGTCGCGGAATCCGTCGATGGATCTCTGAGGACTTCTTGTGTGTGAAAGAGTCTCGATGTCTGGACGCCCGCCTGGCCGACCGCCTGGCGAAGGTGGGTGGCGAAGTGGTTCGGGGCTGTGAGCAAAAGCGACAAAGCCCGTCTTTGGATAAGAAGACAGATAGAATCCAGAATAACTAAGAACTAAATATAGTGAACCATAATCTTTTGGAAAAGGTGCCAAGGGTGTGGAGTTTCTGAGCTCTCTAGCTTGCTGTCTTCAGCCCAACCACCTTTGCCGTCCAGGAGAAGGGCCTTTCAATCACCTTTCCACATCAGAAGGATCGAGGGCAGCGAGAGATGTGCAACTGCACGGCCTCCAGGGAGATTGGACAATATGAGCTGCTTGGTAATCAGAGGCCTTGGGGGTGGCCATGGGGCTCAACTTGGAGCCCATGGCGTGCAGAGAAAGCAATAAACACCATGAAGTACGTACTTACCAGGACCTTCCCAGTGACCGTCCTTGACATCCCGGGACCTCGCTGCACTCTTGCAAAGGCCACGTGTTTTTGCCACATTCCTGAAGTCACTTACCTCGAAGCCCCAGTCCCCCAGAACTTCCGTCCAATGACTCCAGTTTTGAGATCCCCAGTCTGGGACCACTACCAGGCCAGGGGGTGAGTCATGAGTCATTCTCCTGGGCTCTCAGAGTATGATACCGATGTTCGATGTGGCGAATTCATTCGATCTCCTCGAAGCGATGGAAAAACCGTGAAAGTGGACCGTGAAAGCTTTCTCTTCCGAAACCTGGAAGAAGAAGTCGCTCCCGGATTCCTAGATGGTCCCTTTTCGCCGGAGAACCTCCGGAATGTCACTTCATTGAACCTGCCCCTTCTCCAAGCCCGGTGGCTTCCCAGCGAACATCTTCACCGGTGACCGTTTTTTTTTTCACGTGATCGTTGTGTTTCGTGATGTCCTGAGGCTCCAATGTCCACACAGCTGTTTATATTGCTATGCCAACCCCAAGCCGGTGGATGCGCTCGAAGTGAACAGCGCCAAGAGCCATTCACAAGCTGGGTGTTGATCATCAACTCAACAGTTGATGGGATGAGGCGGTTATGGTGGACAAGATCTAGGTTGCACTGGTGATGTGTTCTGTACATCCTTTTAGAGAGTGTACTAAGGTATGCAGCCTGTACAACCGTTTGTGTAGTTGGGATCTCTAGAAGGCCTTGGCGGCGAGTGCTTTTAGGATGTCAGTTCACATGTCCATTACAAAAAGTGACACTGTGAAGCTGATCAATAAATATGCAATTCATATGAGCATAGTTGAAATTGTTGACATCTAGTGCTTGTAGTGGCATTGTTTGCTTAAATGATGACCAGCTGGCAGAAATGTGAGCTTGAAGATAGACCTGTACCAGACACATGTTACTCTCACAATCTCTCATGATTTCTACATACTCGATAAGATTAGATGCGTGTTTCAGTGTTCTCGCGACTCGATGTTGGCATGGTCCCTCAACGTCCCCACTGGATGCATCCTTTGCCCCTGACATGGATTCGAAGAACCCCCGCGCCCAGCATCAAATCTTGCTGGCCAATGTGCCACTGCGGCAGTGCGACTGGGGTTTTCTTTCCTCGAAAGCGTGGATGATCATGTGATGGTCTTGAGTTTGGTCCTGAAGAAGTTTTTGCAAGGATTTGTCTACTCAATAGCCCAGAGACTAGCATGCGCATGTTGCAAGAACAGAGAGATAGAGAGAGAGAGAGAGATTCGGCAGCCCTTTGCTGGCGACTAAGACCAGGACATTGATAGCACACGCTTTCGGAAGTTTGCAGAATGGACCAGAGCCGTCTGCAACAATGTACAGCCAAAAGAATCACTTCAAACAATATATAACTCTTTAGTTATCATGACCTATCTAGAATCCAGAAGCTCACATACGTTCAACAATGCATGAACATAGATGTGACTTGGACGTCAAGTAAACCGTTCAATTGTTGTAAGTCAGATAGAAGAAATACATGGGCATGAAAGTCATGATTCTATGTGCAACCAGTCGAAAACATGCGTGGAGAACAATATTCAATATTCAAGAATTGAACTGATGTCAAGTCTAAACACATGAATAATGAAACTAGACATTACCAACGGATGATATCTCGAATAAAACCAATCATAGAATAGACTGTACATTGTACATTGTGCGTACACCTTGCAGTAATACATGGTTCTTATTTGGCGACACCATAGAACTTCAAACTTCAGCATCCTTTGGACGAATACACTAGCGTCCCGACGAGGTGATCCGGTCTCTTTTTTGGCTCGGAAGTCTTGTTTTCGCATAGCAGAGCGCAGGAGCTGATGTCAGACTTGGAGGTCGCATGTTCCGAAAGAAGTCAGTGACACCTTGGAGGTCTCCCGACCGCATGAATAGAAGTCCATGGCCCAGCTCTAGCTAAAGCATGCTGAAGAGCAGCCCCACAAGCTAGTCCAACGGCTTGTGTGTGCAACCAGTGCAGCAGCCCCAAGAATGGATGGAGCCTGCAGAAGGTTTTGTGAGTTTGGCAGTGTTGGATATATTCAAGTATGACCGAGTGCTTGCGCGATGTCGAGAAAAATCTACTGTATATGCTGAGCAGCCAATAGTGAGTTTATGTATCTTGTGACAAGGCCAATTGTATAATCTATTTTGTTTGGCTGAATTCAATCTCCCCATGCAGACGATGAACTAAGAAGCCAGAAGCCACGGCAACCGCCAGCAGGCCCCCCCCCCCCCAAGCGGGGGAGCCCAACGGTTTTGTCACCCCCAGCAGCACGCCATGGCGGTGCCGTTGGCGCAGCGAGCTGCGCAGCTCGCGCCGAAGGAGAGAGCCATGCTGGAAGCAGTGGGGTGGCCCATGGAAACTCGGTGGAAGGAGAGAGCTCCGTTTGAGAGTACACTTCCAAAAGCTAACATAGACCCTGACAATGACCCCCCTGGAAGATTGTTTTCCTCTACCAGCCAGTGGTTATCACAGGTTTCACTAAAGAATACATTTCCAAGGTTTAGAAAGTCACTTTTTTCATCATGTTCTCCTCAAGTGACTAGTACAGAGATTCAATAAATAATACATACAAATACACAATGTCACATTGCTCTGACATGTGAACAGGCGCAGGAGCACATTTCTTTTCAATCTTGTTTGTATCCGTCCGTTGTTCAGCAACGTCCAGTTCTTTGAAGTAAGAGCATCGACTGGAATGCTAGTCAAAGCCACAGCCTTTCTCTAACTTGGATCAACACAGCACAATCACACCGCCTGCATGCTGACACAAACGCATGGTGTTCATTCACAACAGAGTGCAGACCAGGCCAGGCTTCTTTGTCATTTTGAGCGGCGCACTTCAACAAGAGGGTCAAGAGCAGTGATGGTGTTTTATACGGACTTGCCCCACATGAGCTGGTGCTGCCAATGCGAAGCTAAACTCATATAGTGACAAGGCTACACCATCTCTATTTCAATGTTACAATGTCAACTGCTTCTATTCTATGGCAACACCTCACTCCCCCCGCAAGACCTATCAGATACACCCTAACACTGCATCAAAGCCCAGGCCAAAATGGGCTTTCATATATGCTTTTCATCACAGGTGCCGCAAGCACCACAAGAACACAAGCACCATGAGCACCACAAGAAGACAAACACCACTAGCAAAGCAGTGATGGGGCGTACTTGCGCCTTCTGCGGTGCGAATGTTGGTGGCAACAGCTTCAGACTGAAGCCTAAACAGTATCTTGGCTGCGTTTGTGTTCCTCTGCCCCATGCATTGGGGAGCTAGCAAATCAAGTTCGATATGCAAAAAGCAGCGCTAACCATTTTGCCTTAAATGGGGTTGTATTTTTTTTGCGTGTACGTGTTGATGTAATGGTTGGAAGTTCGACTTGAGCGATTCATTCCCCCGAATCATACCTCGAATCATACCAAATCATACCCGTCAAAAAGTTGGTGTAAGAACCAGGGTTTCAGGTGAAGCTTTGGCTGGTCTTTGTGGTTTGTAGATGTCCGTAATTTAATGGTGCAAAAAAGCATGGTGAGAACACGACTAAGTTATAACCTTTTTCTTGCAGAATTTAATGGCCATACCGAATCACACCCGATCCATGCCCGATTCATACCCGAATCACGCACCCTGCACACAGTTTCCCACCTGGCCCATCCCACATCCCCGATTGTTCCCACCACTGCAGTTAAAAGGGTCGTGCCTTTGGTGGGGTTTGCAGTCTTCGATAGTCTTTGGTAGAAGAGTTCCTTGCCTGGTCTGCCCAGCAACCAGCAGATACTGCTTGCCTACTGCCTCAGAGTGCAGATGTGGGCCCACTGCTGGAAGTCTAGCCAGTCCAACGGTACAATTTCAAAAGCTGCGAATCAGACCCTCGAATCATACCCCCGAATCATACCCCGAATCATGCCCTCGAATCATACTACCTATTCAAACTTCCCGGCCCGACTACGGAATAAAAATACACATTCAAATAAAGCAAAGGGTAGGCGCAAACATCATCAAACATCTTGACGTGGATCTATTGTTTTAGATTGACCACGCAGTCATCCAGACTTCGCTGAGGAAGAAGTTTCTCGAGGAAAGCGGTGTTCTGGAGTGGTTGGGGAAGGTGGAGAAGCCTCGGTTGTGCAGATCTTGCCTCTGGTGGAAGAGCAGGGGGTTCCAAGATTGTGTTTGAAGCTTCTGCGCTGTTTCCTGGCAGCACCGCCGGCGTCAGGTAGCATAGAATGATGCTCTTTCGGGTTTGTGAGCGCTTTCAGATTGTTGCCATTTTAGTTCAAGCGCAAGTGAGATCTTTGATGTATTAGAAAAATTGCAAGATTGTCATTCATCCAATGGCACGGTCCGAGCGATTACGACACATCTTTTCTTTGCATTGAAGTCCATGATGTGTTCCTGGCCCAAAAACTCAAGTGGCAAAACTCATGGCGCGCTCTTCTGACCTAAATGCTGCCCACTCGTTTCACGGGCCTCGTGAGCTCAGGCCCTCTACTACACCCTTGTCCACCTGTTTGGATCTACGGGGTTGGGCCACCCTGCGTTCCGTGGGGTGAGGACTGTGGCGCCTTGGGCCCATTTGGCATTGCCTCGATGGGACACGTGCCTGGGCCTGCATATATCAAATCCGAGACAATTGTGGTAAATTGAAGATTTCGCATGGACCCAGTAAGCTCACGGAATGTCAGAATTAAAAATTGAAACAATCCAAGAACATGTCGAAACGCATATTCGAGAGATCACTTTGGCAGCAGTGAAGATCTTTTCGAGTCAGTGATGTTTGAGATATTATCCTTGACATTGTCGAAATGAAACCTGCAGGCTGAGCTCAGGAATGTTTTCTTTGATTTCGTTGACTGATTCAGAAAACGGTTTCGCTTGATCGTGCACCGTCGTCTGAGATGTCTACATGACAGCCCCCCTTCCATTTTTGGACAGGGCCTCCATGGCTGTCTATGCCCAGGTGCAGTCGTGCCTGGGCTTCCTCGTGAGGTACTTAGGAGGCTTGAAGTGATCATAGTCATTGTGGGGAGAGTCCAGATCAGCGTTGCTTTCATTGAAGAAATCAAATGAACACGTGCGAAGAAACTTTCAAACATGCAAATCTGATGTTAGTGGTCTTTACATCTCCCAA